AAAAATGTTTTTTTCTTTTCTTTTTTTTTTTTTTTTGAATTTTTTTAGTAAGAGTAAAAATAATAATAATGCTCTAATTAAATTCATTGTGCTACTCCTTCTGTTTTGCCCACCATGGCCACTGGTGGGCAGTATAAACACTCATACAGAAAAATGAAGAAAAGTCAGCGCTACTCCTGGTGGCTAAGTAAAATAATGGTCGGGTTTTTTGTTGTTGTTTTTTCAGAATATATGCGTGTGAGTACTGTGATATTGTCTGTTTACATGTCTTGCTCCACCACTGTTGAAGCGAGGGGGTGTGCATCTCTCCAATAAGACGATTGGAGATGTATCTCAATACAAGGGGTGCGACACAATTCAAGGACAATTTGAGTTTTAACGTTCATTGATTCAGAGTATGACGCATCTTCTGGTCATTTTCCACACAGAGGGTTGAACTTGTCGGTACTGTAAACAACTCTCGAAAGATATCTCTCTCCAATAAAAGAGAATTGGAGAAGTATCTCGCTATATTTCATCGTACTGTACATCCAAACTGATTTTCCGATTCAAATCGGGTTTTGTTACACCCCAACTTAAAGAGTTGCATTCTGACGACTATCAAAGCTAATTGTTTGCCTGCCAATGGCGTTTTCCATGACATGTTAGCATGAAGCAAACGGGGGGCAGGCTGAAGGCTCTTTTGTAATCCCGTTTGGCTGTTGTAAACACACAACGTGTAATTTTCTTGTTTTGATGTTTAGTTTGACAGTAAACTCCAACCGGGAATGGCATGAAACAGCATGAAGCCTGTTTTTTTTTTTTGAAGAATTGTTCATTATTTGCCAAACCGCTGCTTACTGTGAAGTGAGTTGAGTTCACTGCCATCACACAGCATTCAGCTGACGGCTCGTATTTCAGAAAAAGTAAGAGTAAAAAAAGTCACGTCACTTTTATCTCAAGGCACTGTCGAGTGTTTTTTTTGGGGGGGTCTAATTTCTTTTATCATTTTTGTTTTTACTCCCTACATTTGAAAAAAAAATGTATATACTTTGGACTCCTTCATTTGTTAAAATAGGCTCGCTAACTTCTTCGACTTCCGTGAATGCCAACACAATAAAAAAATAAATAAAAAAAAGATCACATACAAAAGTTAAAGTCGGCAGCGGTTGAGATGTTCACTGATTTCATTTGGAATCATTCGCTAATTTAACATTTTTTTGTTGTTTGTTGTTAGTTATTTCACGACATTAGCTATGCGAACATCTTTTTATAGCATTAAAGTTGAGCCAATGTTAGCTAGCGCTTAGTTTTAAAAAACAAAAACTAAAATTTTTGTTGGTGTATCAAGTTATCAAAATGGGTATTGTGGATAAGTGATGGTAAAAACGGATGTTTTATTTTTTTGTACTTAGTAGAACCAAATATTTACTTCTACTCATAGCAAGCAGGCTCAGTCTTTTTTAAAAACGGATGTTTTATTTTTTTGTACTTAGTAGAATCAAATATGTACTTCTACTTATAGCAGGCTCAGTTTTTTTCGATGCCAGTCTCAGTACCGGTACTTCTAATCAAGTACAGAGTTGTGAATACTTTTGTCACGGGCTCCACCGGCCATCCGCTGAGCGGTCGCCATCACCATCGCCAATCACGGCAACGGTAAAGGCAACGATGCCTTAGTGCGTTTGGAACACGGCTGTGCGCTCTGATTGTACAGAGTTGTGAATACTTTTGTCACGGGCTCCAACGGCCATCCGCTGAGCGGTCGGCATCGCCAATCACGGCAACGGTAAAGCCAACGATGCCTCAGTGCGTTTGGAACACGTCTGTGCTCTCTGATTGGTCTGATCTGCCGCAGGGTCGTCAGGAATGTTGCTTGCCGCACCCGCGGCCAACAAGCTTAGACGAGCATGAAGGAAGATGGCAGATTACATAACCGGATCTGATGGGAAACAGCTTGCCAGCTCAAGGCTGCATGTCCTTTAAATGCCGCCCCGAGGTACAGTTGCAGTCGAAGACTCAACGCATGTCCAATAGCCGCCAACCGAGGACGGCACTAACCCAACACGAAGCAGAAACTCACTGAGGACTCGCCGAATCTTGTTTTGCTTGTGTTTATGAAACAAATTTTCAAGAAAGACAGGCGTGTCTATATTTTGTTCCCAGAGGGCCCGGTACAGAAATATCAATGGACCACTTTAACATCCTCTTGTAGACCTCCCACTTTTCATATACAGTAGAACCCCACACATTTATACTGTAATGGTACTTTTTTTCAAGGTGGACGACTGGTTTGCATGGCGGCCTCACAGTGCAGAGGTGCAGGGTTCGATTCAGGCCTTCCTGTGTGAAATCGTTTTCCCCGTGCCTGCGTGGGTTTTCTCCGGGTACTCCACTTTCCTTCCACGTTCCAAAAACATGCACGGAAAGTTACTGGAACACTCCAAATTGTCCCGAAGTGTGATTGTGAGCGCGAATGGTTGTTTGTCAGTGTGTGTTCCCTGCAAGTGACTGGCAATCAGGTCGGGATGCACCCTGCCTACTGCTCCAGCACGCCTGAGACCCCCGGGGATTGGCGGATTAGAAGATAAATATATGTGTGTGTGTGCGTGTGTGTGTGTGTGTGTGTGTGTGAGATCTGCATATCCTCAATCTGCCATGCACGTTTTTCCAATGTGTGAGGAAACTGGAGAAAACCCACGGAGACACGCGGAGGACATGCAAAATCCACATAGGAAGGCCAGAGCCAGAATCGAACCCACAACCTCTGCACTGTGAGATCACCGTAACACACACACACACACACACACACACACACACACACACACACACACACAGTGTAATTGTTGATAAAGAGCCACGCGTTTTCCATAAAAAACATGGGTTGTCAACCCCAACCCAGAAAAGCGAAATAAAAAAAAATTCTGTGAGTAGGTGCCAACAACGAGGCGCTCTAAAGTAGCCATGCCGAAGCACTATCTGAAGGAAAGATTGTTTTTCAGAATCCCTACAAAACTCGCGAGCTAACCGAATGTTGCACTTGTGCCAGATAACTGCTGACGCAAACAAAGGTGCCTGAGTTCTAATAAAGTAGGGGAGAGGCGACTGATGTCGGAGTCTAAAGTGCGTCACGCATGGCGCGGTTTTAGCCACACACCCCAAAGTAACACCGAAATGCTGAAAAAAAGAGTTTCATGCTAATTCTCACTGTTGCATCCAACGTAGTTCAACGTGTTCGCATTTGCACTGTGACATGTTAACATGTCAGACCTTGACATGTAGAAGTCATTGTAGAAAACGTTTTTTTTTTGCGATTCAAAGTGAATATGCTTATTCCAATTTTGCAATTTGTTGTTGTAAATAATTTCTTTGGGGGTCCTTGCGTATCAAAAACAGCTTGAAACAAAACCATTGCATTTGTGTCAATTGTAGTAGTTGGTGGGTGTCGCTCACCCCTGTCACTTTTTTGACAGCTGGACTTTTCATGCAGGCTTTTTTTTCCCTTTTTTTTTTTTTGCATTTGATGACTGACGTGCTGCCGAATGACGGGAGTTGAAACCGGGCGCCAATGCTGTGCCGCATTTGTGGAAATGAATCATGGTCACGTCAACAGACGGTTTCCATGTTTTTGTGGAGTCAGAAATGGAGGGCGGCCCAATGTTATGTAACAGTGGTGGACTCGAGCCTACGCTATCCTAACATGATTTCCTGCTGGGTTTTTTTTTTTTTTTTTACCCCCCCTGCTGAATTCCCCGATTGTGGTAAATGTACGTCATTATTTTTCCTTTCCCAAAAAAAATGTCCCAATACAGGCAAATGTGCTTATTAGCTCCTTTGTTTATTAACACATCAAATAAACAACAAGAATTTGAATTATGGTCTGATTGATGCTATACCGCAACTCTAAATCAATACTAATAGGTTGTATTTTTGAACCGAGGTATTGCTTCCGTTTTAGCACCATTGCTTAAATCCTGATGCTCAGGCGTTTTTGTTTGGAGGAAGAGACTCAAGAAACATTTTGAAAAATAATCGAAGTCTTTATTTGTTCAAATATAAAAACAACCATATTTTCACACGGTAAAAAAACAGGGAGTAAGCTTCCTGTGTGTTCGCGCCAACAAAATAACATTAACAGCTTCTGGCGCTCAATACATACGAGACGTACATTTGGATCATTTCGAAAGTGAATCTAAATGACATTTGCTTTGATGAAAGTACCTGTATACAGAAAAGAAAAGCACCCCGTTGTTTTACACAATGTTATCGTAGACATGAAAAACCAGTTCATGTATCTGAATGAAACGGTATCGTAATGTCAGGATGAACAGCCAATGAACCTGAGCCGTTCCCCACGACCCAACTTAGTTGATTTCACACAAAGATATTTACATGTACAGCGGTACCTCTGCTGACGAACGTCTCTTCATACGGAATTTTCAAGTTTCGAAACTGCTCAACAGAAAAATATTGCCTCTTTTGACGAAAGAAATTTCAGGATACGAAAGGTAAAAATGCAGGATGGGCTGCTACTCGCAGCTCCGAGTTTCCTGATTGCAACATACTGAGAGCTGCTCTGCTATTGGCTATTATCGAGCATCTTCCTGGCATCCCATTGGCTAAGAGGGAACTCTACCGCACGTGTCTATACGTGTAGACAGATGGATATGTGTCTATGCAGCGTCCTCGTCATTCGCCAGTTTGTCAATTTTTATGCTTTAGGAAACATTTATGTCTGAATTTTGGGGGTCTTGGAACGGATTAGGGCACTTACATGGAAAACGCGCCTCTACTTACAAACTTTTGTAGTTAAGACTTTTCTTCCAGAACATATTAATTTCGTAAGTAGAGGTACCACTGTGTAGGAATGTTGTTTACTTGCAGAGCTGAAACCGCAAAATACAAAAGACCAGTTTTGTCTGGATTTTTCTTTTTTTTTGTTTTTGAAGTTTGAGTGCTCCTTTAAGTGAAGAACATTTTCAGGACAGAAAATTCTCTGCGTACCCACAGAAAGACATTTCTGATGTGCAAACTGCAAATGTAGAAGTCTCATTTTCCACACTGATGAGGTAACGTACAACCGAGTTTGGTATTTTTGATCGGAGTTCCACTCCTGGCAAAAGTAAAAGAATGGCCCCCTGGCCCAAAGTCACGGGTTTACCATTTTCCTGGGATGGGAGTTCCGCACTCGTACCAAGACACGTAGCCGATGTGGGAGTGTCCACCGATTGGGCCGAACTGAACGGGCTCTTGTCGCACCGCTCGATGAAAGCCTAAATGGTAAAGACGACTCATCAGTCGCATCCAGCCTTGAATTGTCATCTGCGATGTGATGTCAAATGGGTTTTTACCAGATCTGGATGGCAGCTGGGCCGCACCCACTTGGCGTCCAGTTTTCCCGTCCAGGAACGAATCGACAAACTGGCAGTGGTCCTCACCGAAGCCGCTCTGGTCTCCGATGTTGTAGAATTTACCTGTGGAGCAGAACACGTCTTGGTCGAGGCTTCACAGACTTCCCGCGGCGGTGAAAGACACTCACCGTTTAGCGAGTCGCTCAGGTAGATCTTGTACCGAAGCGAGTTGCAGAGCTGGACCCCCACAAATTTGCGGTACCTGGTTCTCTTGACGTATTGTTTGCCGTGACAGTCGGAGTAAGAGTCCGCCTTGAAGGGGAACTGCGTCCAGATGGCATCTTTACCTGTCAAGACCGCCCACTTTGTTAGATTTGTCCCATACTAGCACCCGGGATCGTTCAAGACACAACGTCTGGTCTCACCTGAGACGTTTTCGCTCACTCGAGGGTCCGCTGGGAAACAATAGGAAGACAACATGAATCACTGCAACTTCCACACCGGTCCAAAACAAGAAACGGTGCAGATGCGAGACTCAACGGCAGTTTATCGTACCTGACTCGGTGTTGAAGGATACTGGCTCGCTGGATGGACCTGCGCCAAAGTCGTTCTTTGGCTTCACCTTGAACTCATAACTATTAAGGAAAAGGGCACACGTTGAATTCCACTTGAGTCCCACTCAATCCAACTCAAGATGGCTTTGAAAGATTCTGACGGAACCTGCGTTTACCTGCTTTCAGGTTTCAGGTTCTCCACTGCTGTATGTGTCTGGTTGGTGGTCAAAATGGAAACTTTCTCACCGTCGGGTCCTTTTGTGGTTGAGATTACTTCATACTCTGAGGAAACGAGGGGAGAGGTTAACTGTTAGCTATTATTCTTCAACGGATCCAACGGACTGTTCAAGTGTGACGTTATCGATTGCCACCCAAGAAGATCACAATCCCTCCATGTTAAAAGAGTACTTGTGGAAGTGGAGTTCAAGGAGAAGTCAACTCAAAAAATTGTCTTTACAATATGTTCAATGCGGCCCAAATTGTTACGTTCAGGACAAATCCGGGTAGAGGTGGATCCCAGAAATGTAGACAAGGTCTTTCCACAAAAGGGTTATTAAAAAAAAACAAAAAAAAAAACGCAAGACCGACAAAGACGCTGGTCTCAAAGAACCAGGACCAAATGTGACAGACCAAAAACATTTGCTAAAAAGGCGAAGACAAAATAACGTAAAATCGCTTGTCATAAACAGACAAGGAAATCCAATTACGAGAACGATACAAAAGAGCACTAAGAATGACACAAATTACGGCAAGAATTTAAGCAGAATGAACAAGTTATGAGCGTCGACAGAATCGTGAGCAAAGCAAATAATCAGACAGGAAGCTGTGGTTAGGTTTATAAAGGCGGCTGGATAACGAGACAGATTAGCGACTGGTGCGGCTCTGGAGGGAACCCCCTCCAGTCCCGCTAGACACTGAAAAAACAAACGGGACAGGACAGTTATTCCACATGTGGAATATGAATTCAGAAGCCTAATCCACCCTGTTTGTATTCATCTCAGGGGACGGCCATTTTGCCACTTGCTGTCGACTGAAAATGACATCACAGTTGCTGAGGACTCAGGTAACAACCAGTCAAGTTGGTCGTTACCTGAGCCCTGAGAAGGGGCCTTGAAATGAATCCAAACAAGTAGATTTTGCGACTGAATTCATATTCCGCAAATGCAATAACTGTCACGATCCTGCTGCGTTTTTTTCAGTGTATGGTGAAAGTGGGGGCGGGGGGCTTAGTCCCGGAGTCGCACCAACGCGATCTTATTCAGAAGGCAGTATTTAGACGAGCGGAGGCGCATTTGGTCAAGAAAACGTTTGACTGGACTTCCCCTTGAACATGTGAGATGAGATTCCAAGACTCTTGGTGTACCTGTGGTGTCATTGTTGGTCTGCTCCCAGTCCAGAATGATGAAGGAAGAACATCCCTCCACCGTGACCACAGTGAGGTTCGAGGGCGGTGACTTGGGCGCGGCCGTCACGTTGACGTCGCTGCGTTCATCCTCGGGGAAGAAGTTCAAGGACGATGTAATGGAACAGGGCTCGTCCGCTCTCTTGCCCGTTTGGTAGATGACGTGAGGTGCTGCAGAGGCGACGTACGATACTCAGCCTGGATTCGCGCCGACTCCCGACAAGGAGTGACACTTACCCACGTAACGTTTTTTGCCCGTGGCGTCAATGTCCGAGGTGGGCTGCGACTGGAACAAGTCTGAGTTTCCCCATGATTCTTGCTGAGGGGCTGTCAGAGGAAGCATCACGTCCGGGCTCAGAATCTGTTCACGCGAGGGGTACATGCGCCGTCCCCCGCACTCCATTTTAGTTGTACCTTGAGTTGTGGGCGCCATTGTGGTGGTGTCTTTTTGTCGGCGCTCGGTCGGCCTGGCGTGAGTTGGCTTAGTGGCGGCAACCGGAACTTTGGCCTGCAGGACGGCCAGTTTATCGGTGTGTTTCCGGTCGACGGTCTTCTCTGCGGAAGAAGAGTCAACTCAGGAACTCAGGAAAACGAGGTCCAAGCAGAAAGTAGACGCAGCCGGCTCGGTCGTTCACCTCACCTGATTGGTTTGGTTTTCCAAGCAGGTTTGTTTTCTTGCCCAGAGACCCTGTAACACCCACGCCACATCGTACGTCATCACTCATCGAAAAACAAGAACATCACTCCACTCCTTGTTAAGTTCTGACATGGAAAATTCAACAACGTTAATGGAAAAATGGATGAGGTGTGGAACACTCCACTGATTCTTTTCCAAAAGAAGAAAGCGAGCGAACAAGTCCCGGCAGAGAGCCGAAAGCTGAAAGCCGATGAGGCCGGCAACGGAGCCGTCGCATTCCTTCCAATCAGCTTTGTATAAACATCAATGGCGACCTCAAAGCCAACAGGTAACGTTTGCGTTTTTGGCTTCCATTCATTCGCGGTTTGGAAGAGGATCTTAAAAGTCAAATGTTAGAAAGAAGGAGAGCTGCCCGGGAATCATCCGTTCACCATCGCTGAACAACAAAAGGCAGTCATTGCCGCAACTCATCCGGTGATTCTTAGCCCCCCCGTGTCTATTTAGGCAAAACAATCTCCAACCTGAACGAGGACGTGTCCATAAGACGGGCTTGATGGGGGGGAAATCCCGGTGTCCGTTCACTGATGGAAGAGGAAAAAAAAAAAGCGGTGTTTCACTAAATACTCAGCTGCTCAAATGCGTTTATTCCCAGAAGCAAAAAAATCGAAGCTTGAGATCAGGACACTAGAGCGCCAGAGGTCACGCCAGAGGTCACGAGCAAAGGAAGAGTGCGGCTTGCCTGGGAGAGCCGCGCGGTGAAGCAGCGAAGGAAGTCGAGACTGCGTCCAGTTGTGAAGTGCTGCAAATGAAAGCAACATCAACAATAAATCAATAAAATCAATCAACAGTCCAACCCCAAAAACTCAACGCCCTGGCTATCGGTTCATCGACCAGCCCTGACGTATAACGATTGTGTCAGAGGATAAATATCAAGAATCCAGATGGAGGCGCTACCTGGACGTGGCGGGAAGAAAGCTCGAGGCCTGAGTGGGTTCTGAAACACAAACAGGCCGCAATGTTCACATGACCGAAAGGACCAAAACTCAAAATGTCATCAAAACTTCTCAGCTGCGATTGGTGAGATTTATCGACCATGAGCAAGATTCCAAAGGAAGCAAAAAGTATCAACGCCAGCCATGACAAATTGGTCTCTTTGCAAATCTGCTCCTTCTGCGAACAGAGGAGCAGGCGGCCATCTGAATGGCCCACGGCAGGCCGCCAGGCCCGTTGTAGGCGCGATGCCAGAGAAGGCACGGCGGTAAACTCTTCAAGATGATGCAGGGAAAGTTTGGAATTTTTTTAGGAGGAACCCATCCGCTATTATTTGCCAAAACAAGCCTACTTCCTTGAAGATATAAATATATTGATTCGGCGCAGAATTATGTGGCATCTTTGTTTGAAGCACCTCTGATGAACTGAGGGAAGGAGCTTCATTTAGCCAGGCCATAGCCCCGTCTAATCGAAAAAACGTGTTTCATCGTGTGGCCTCTACAGGCAATTACAAACCTTTTTGTTGTGGGTGTCAATTACGACTTTTCGCTCTTGGTTGCAGGGCAGTGGGTTCATCGCATTAAAAAAAAATGTGATGATCGATATAACACGGAATCAAATAATGTTGTTCTGAAATCAGGTTTCGTCTTCAAGGACTATTTAGGGTTTAAGCTATAAATATATTCAACTCTAAACATTTTAAGCATGTAGGAGCATTATGATTCCCAATTTTTTGCTAGTCTCGGCAGGGCTTGATACCTAAGCCCCATGAATAGTCCGGGTTCAATGTATTATTCCAAATCATGCCAGAATAAAAGCCCCCCTACTCCCGCCAAAAAAACTCCAACAAACTTTACACACCAGTGGCTTCACCAGAGGAAGACGCCGTTTTGGTGGCTTCGGTTTTGTTTTAGCTGAAACACAAAATAATAAACATGAAAGCACACAAAAACTAACACGATGACATATTTTAGTTTTGTCCCTAAATGATTCATTCATTTCTTATGACTTTGGAGAAGAAAAAAAAAGACTTGACTTTGAAATATATGTTTGACATCACAGACAGTTCACAATGTTGGCTTCTTACCGGCCATGTCGGTACTTTGGATGATGACTTTACTCCAGGCACCGTTGCGGTCATCCTTGTTGGAGCGGACCCCAAATTCGTAGGGCGTCTCAGGAGTCAGGTTGTCAATGACCGTGTCACTCGTCGGGCATGTCTGATAGATCCACTTCCTATTTTTCTCCCGGTAGCGAACAGTGTAGAAACTAATGGGAACAAGAAACAAAAGGTCCTCAGGGTTCTATTCTTTGCACTTTAGATTTTTCAACAGGCTGGAGCTTAGGACAGATTGGAGACTTGAGAGTTGAAGCTCCGCATCCTGCTGCTGGTCAAAAAACATGGAAAAAGGAAGCAGTTGTCGAAAATTTAATTCACCTCCTTTCAAGGCCAACATATTGAGCACTCTCTCGGGTCATTTTTTGGCAAGGAGACATCTGTTCGGAGGTTTCAAAACAAAGGGCTAGCTTTCCAACTTTCTCGAATTATTTGACAGAAAAGGAAAAATCTATTTTTAAAGGCAGGAAAGGATGGAGACGGTGACAATCGCAGTCGAGGCGAGAGACAACTGGAACAAGTCAGCTGGAACACGTTCAGAACAGAACAACATCTCTCAACAGAATGGTTGCGGACAACCACGACGATAAACAACGAGGTTATGTTGTATGGCTGATGTTTTTACATTACAGTACATTACATTGATCGTATTATTGCACAGCATTAGTGATGTGAGGAGCTTCATGCAGATATTTGCCTCGTGTGGCACTGAGGACCAAGCCCTGCTGCGAATTGCAAAGTCTGTGAGTCTGACCTGGAAAAAGGTTTCTAACGGCCTACAGATGCCAAGAAGGTCACAAAACACGATTATGATGCTCCTCAACTGACATCAAAACAGTTCACGGCACGAAACAATTTTTTTAAAATTAGACAAAGCAAATTGCGATCATTTCCTCAAAGTGACACCCAGGATGTACCCAGATTCCCAATCTCACCCGTCCTGCAGGCAATCATCCAGGATGTCCCTGTCAAAGGAATTTTTCAGATGGTTCCCCCAGGACAGCAGCACCGCGGTGGGGCTGACGCTGCCAATCACCAGATTGAGCCGCTCGTCCAAGTTCACCTTTCCTGTGCACCAAGTTAAGACGGAGTGAGAACGTGCGTCCGGCAGGCAGGAGGAAAAACAGAAAGCGCTCGCATAATACCTGTGCAGTGTTTGGTCACGTGGTTGGGAAGGACCGGCTGCACGGCCACCAGGTACTTGGGTTCCGCATCTAAAGAGACAGATGATTGATCTGTGACAGAGGAACTCTTGTGAACACGTTCAGACTTTTCAGCCTAATAATTCATACAACAACAAACAATAAATGAAAAACAAAGACAGTCGAAAGCACAAAAACAGTCAAACTAAAAATCTCAAGTCTGACTCATGCTGAGTCAAAAGCCAAAGGATCAAAATGAGTTTCAAGATGACTTTTAAAGATGGGCAGCCAGGGGGCTTGCCGAACGTTCATTCCAAAAAGGCGGACCGGCAACGGAAAAGGCTCCATCCCCTCTGGGGTTAGTCCTCCGGTACCTCGAATAGTGTCTGGTCCGCAGACCCGAGGCACCGGACGGCCAGGTGTGTAGGAGCTCAGAGAGGTCAGGTGAGGGCAGGCCATTTAAAGATTTGAAAACAATTCATAGGATCTTCAAAAGAACTCTCAAATGTATTGGCAGCCATTGAAGGGATGCCAGAGTTCTGTGCTCTCTCTTACGAGTACGAGCCAAGAGGCGAGCAGCAGCATTCTGGACAGAGCAAGAGCAAGTTTCCTGTTGCAGCTCGAGTGGCCGATAAAATCCAACAGCAAAAGTCATATCTGTAACCTTTTGAGTCCAAAAGGAATTAAAAAAAAAATTGTTGGCAAAAATGCAGGTGGGGGGCGGGATTCCGAGGAAAACATCTGTTTGCTGTTCCTACATAGCTGTCTTGACATGAGCCTCCTGTGTAATTTCACGTCAGGTTCACACCAGGAGTGTGCTAACGTGTGTATTGTGTGTCAAATATGTCAATGTTTTATTTTGGATCGTGGAATAATGACTTTTTAGAGGCAATTTAAAGTGTCCAAACAACCTACCGTGCATGTTTTTGGAACGTGGGAGGAAACCGGAGTACCTGAAGAAAACCCACGCGGGCACGGGGAGAACATGCAAACTCCACACAGAAAGGACAAAGCCGGAATTGAACCCGACACTCCTGCACTGAGAGGCCGACGTGCTAACCCAGGGGTGTCAAACTCATTTTTGTCGCGGGCCACATTGTAGTTACGGTTTCCCTTGGAGGGCCATTATGAATTTTGGGAAACCTTATAAATGTTTAATCCCCTCCACATATTACATACACGGCGCACAGCAAATTGATGAAGAACTAGTTTTAAAATCAGAAGTCAAGAATAATGACTGTTATTGTGGATTACAGATGACAATTTGAAATTTTGGTTCATACTTTAGCAAGCATCACGGAACTTGACATGCATGATTTGCCTTCTGTTTTATTTATTTCTGAATTCACAAGTTGTTTTATTTTGAAAATCTGCCAGATTCTCTGTTACATCCGTCTACAGTATGCCACTCTTGACGCAGGTGAAGGTGCGCTTGTCGGTCACGTGATAGGTTACCGCTAAAATGAAACCCAGGAGATAGCAAAATAAGTAAAAAGACAAACGTCTTTGAAAAATGTTTTCAGGAAGGGGAAAAGGCCCAGCCAGGTGACAGAAGAGGAGCCAACGACTTCCAAGGAAAAGAAGGCGACATTTAAATGACAGTATCAGGAGTCCTACTTAAAATACGGATTGATCTCAACGAGAAATTCCCACTCATGCACTTTGGATTTCGGTGTATCTTATTTTGAAGGAACGTTTCAATGTTCCCATTGCGACCAGAGAGTGGTGTGGCCCGATAGGACGTTCCTCCTGGCATGATTCGTGTTTATTATTGTTGAGAAAATACCACACTTTTCATGCAGGTCATGTCATATTATTTTGTTGTATTGATCCGCTGCACCTTAACGGCCGGTCCCTGAAAAGACTGTCTATCATTAAACCGGTCCATGGGGCAAAAAAAAGGTTTGGGACCGCTGGTGTAAAAACCTGAGCGGTGTTAGGTGATGTCAAAATGAAATAGTCGACATTCCCCAGTCCACCCAAGATGTGCCATGACTCACCCATCTCAGCCTGGTAGGGTATCCCGTTTTCAGGCAAAGGGATGAACTGCTTGGAGGAGACGCTGCTGCCGTAACCCAGAATGTAACCTTCTAGCTTGAAGTCGGGACTCGGTCGCAGGAACTTCATGGTGATGGTGTCACCCGTGGCGTTGATCTTGACTTTCACATTATGGCGACGGACTGCAATGACAAGTGCGAAGACGTCATACTCGCATTCGGGCGTCTAATCTGGTCCGCATGAAATGAGCTAGCATGGGAAACTATACTCGTTTCCCATGTTCCGAGGAGTGAGAAGTCTAGACTCTAATCTCAAAAAGCATACAATAATAGCATCATAGGACAAAATGTAAATAAATAATAATTTGTATAATATCTAATAAATAACTTGTGCATTATGATCATTCAGTGGGAATTATGCTGCAGTAGAATATACATGCATACATAGAGAAAAAAACAAGAAGATGGACGGTAAACTGCAGTAATATTCGTGGCTTTTTTGGGGAGAGGATAAAGAATACATGCTCGCGAGTATTGTTTTATTGTCTACATTGTATTGGAATATCCATTGCTTAAAAGTTTAGATTACAATACAGTGACATTGACGCTCGTTCAGTTAGCCCATTTATGGCATTCTGCGTCGCGTGTTAGAATGAAGCTAGTGTATCTTTGACTTCTCCTTAAGCACAACGTGTGCACTTTTGCCACCTATGCCGATGAACAGCCAATGCGAAGCAAGAGGCACGGCGAGCGAGGCATCCCTGTTGTTCTTGGCACCAGTCTTGACAGCCTTTGATGGCCTTACGTAACTTGACGCAGAGTGCGGTGAGGCGGACCCCTCGCAGGTTTGATCATGAAGCCCAGCCCACCCAGTGCGAGCCAATACGGCCTTATCGCAATCATCACATCGCTTCGCTTCCCCAAACGCTGCATCCTAAAAGGCGGGAACAGGATGTGACAGGATGTGACAGGATCGCACCAAGGGGAGAGGACGCCTTCACCCTTTTGGAGGATCAAAGATGTCAGCGCAAATGCTTTGTTGGACTTTGAGGTGGACAGCTTATCATGTTCTCAGATTACAGGGTGCGTGAAAGGGTTAACCTGCACAACACTTTTTGCTAAGGTCGAACTAAAAACAAAAGGTGTGCTGTGGCACGTTACACAGAGAAGCCGTCACTCTGGCACACGTTCTGCAATATTTCCATGCACTGGAAAAAACAGCAATTAAAAAAAAAACTGTTCAATTTGATGTCCCCCCCCAGCCTTTGAAGCTATCTTTTTTTTTTTTTTTTACACTTCTCAAGGAAATATAAAATGCTCACTTTTCGTGATTTCGATTCATCAAAGACCGTTTGCCTACCTCGGGTCATCTGCGCTGGGATGCAGCCGGACAGAACCGCTGCTCCAAAGAGCAAGAGGTGGTGGAGGAGGGAAGCGGTGCGCGCCATGGCCTCCCCAGTTGAAGGATGGATGAAGCTCGAGCGGGAGCGAGGCAAAAAAAAACCCAAAACACTTCAAGATGTGTTTGTTCAGCCCTCAGATGCCTTCAGGAGTGGAGACAAGCAGGCAGAATAGATTTTATAGCTGCAGCATGGGGTGGGGGGCGTGGCCCCTCCTGAAACATTAACTTCTCCCTCTTGAATCACGCCGCCCCCCCCACACCCCCCGTCAGCTCCAAGGAGAAAGAGGAAAGTCCCAAAACATGACAAAAACATTTTTCCTGAACCGATTGACTTCACGTCTTCAAAACGGAGGTCGACGCCGTCTCACCCGCCGTCCTCGAGGGTCGTCCCCTGGAGGGCAGGATGACATCTCAAATTAGTGCCCATCGTTATGACAAACATTCCTCATCGGTGCAGATCAACAAGAGCGCATGTCTGACTCTCAGTTGTTTGGTTTTTTTTTTTTACTGGTGAAAAAGTGCCCAACGGGCTCATCATGCGAAGCGTTTGGCTTTGCATGGTGAGGAATGAGAAGAATGCAACGGGCAAATGTGACTCTAAACACCGGACAAACATCTGTCCACAGGACACGACCAGATAAACATTCATGGCTGCAGCTGCAAGACGTGGAGGTGCGCACAGGACATTCACGTTATGCTCAAGAGGCGTTACATTCTCGCTCCGTCCTTCCCGATAAACCTCTCGCCATTTAGCCAAAATGCAAAAATTGAGAGATGTCAAACCCAAGTCCATTTTTCACAGAGGACTGACAAGGTGCTTTGCATTTGCATGCGAGTTGAACGACTCCAAGCTGACTCGATCTGTGTTGTGTTGACTTTGTTTTGACGAGGCTGGGTTTTGTTTCCGGTTGTGTTCCCTTTTGCGCCCCCGGCCCAGTGTTTTGTCTTTTTGTTTCCACCTGTTCCCATCGGCTCCCTCCAACTCGTGTCTTGTCCAGGTGCACCTTGTTGTCTCGTCAGTTTGCTTGTATTTAGTTCCCTGGTTTCATTCCGCCTTTGTCAGCTTCTCAAACACGTGCTGAACTGCAGTCGGAGACGGAAAAACGTCTTACCAGGTGGCAATTTTTGCAACGCTGTTTTCAATGTCAACGAGCACGCGATGCATAGGTGGTGTTTGTAGGGTCAAATCAACATTTTTGCTTCATTCTACACATCACTCAGAGTGTCATTCCCAAATTCCGCATCCGCCCAACCATGATCTGATCCGCTTTTCCTGAGGGTGACGGGCGTGCTGCAGCTCATTTCAACAGTGTACACCCCGAAGCCAATCGCAGGCCACACAGAGACAAACAACCATTCGTGCTCACAATTTAGTGTTCAATCAACCTACCCAGAGAAAACCCACGCAGGCACGGGGGAGAACATGCAAACTACAAACAGGAAGGCCGAGCACCGGAATCAAACCTGCGCACTCTGAAGTGGACATGCTCACCATCCACCGTGCCGCCCAACTTGTGCCATGTCATACGATGTAATGAACTCATGGTTTCTTAGTGTCCCAAATTAGCGATTAAATATAATTTCGGGATGGCGTTAAGTCGATGTTGGTAGCAACTACGTCATGGCAATAAAAACTGTGATAAGTCAAGTCGAATGTTGGAGGAAATCAGAGTACCCCGAGAAAACCCATGCAGGCACGGGGAAAACATGCAAACTCCACACAGGAAGCCCGGGCCCGGATTCAAACCCACGACTTCTGCACTGTGAGGCAGACGTCGTGCTAACTATTTTTTCCCACCGTGCCGCCCCATTTAGAGCATGTATTTGCAAAAAAGAAAGGGACTTAAGGCTGACCCTTGAGGAATCCCAGAGGGAGTGGGAACAGATTCTGACTTATTGGGCGGGGCAATAACCATAGAAAACGGATTTATTTGCTCAATAGGATATGAACCATTCAAGAGCAGGTCCTGAAATGCCGACCGAGTTCTTCACGTCTATGACGATGTGATGATCCATGTTGGAAATGTGAGTGTGAAAAGGTGTTTATCTACGGATGGACAGCTGCTGGGACAGGTTCCGACTCGCCTCTCGCAGTACCCAAGCTGCCATCGGGCGTCTTCACTCTTGGTTGAAAGCAATGTTACAAGAACAAATTCATATTTTTTGAAAGGACAACGGCATCACGGCATGAAAATCCCGTTGCATTTTTCAAGATACAAAGTCAATCCCTTCAAGAACAAACTCGTAATCTTACAAGGATAAGGTCGTATTTTTTGCCAAGATGAAGTCATCGGTTCACAAGTCGATTCAAAACATACGAGCTTACTCTCGTAATAAGTAGGACACTTTTTATGATGAAAAAGGCGCATTTATTATTATTCTGGAAAAATATGCCTTTTGCTCTTGAAAAACAGGTCTTTATAAAATAACAAATATATCTAGACATAATATAATACATAATATATAATGTAATCTGATATCTAATAACTTTTTCACAGGTGTGTCAGATTTATGTCATGACACGTCATGAACGTATCAGCCTTTAATAGTTCTTGTTCTTTGCCTGCTTGTTTTGCCATTTTTGGAACTCCCTTCCTAAGTACAGTTCAGTTCTATTTCACTTTTCAGTTCAATTCATTTGCATGGAATAATTTTATTCTCATCATATTGTCCTATCACTGTATCGTTATTTAAATATTATTTATATTAATATTCCTAATCGTTTTAATGTTTCCCCCCCAGTTTCAATGTTCCAGTGGAACCACCAAATCAAAGTCGGTAAACTTCGGACTGTTTTTCAGAGTTCAACCGATATTTCTTGAAAATTCCTGAATGTTGGAAATATATAAAAAAAAAAAAAAAATGTGTTGAAAGTGGCTGTCGTCAACACTCCCCACACCTTTTGTGTTCGCGCTGCCACCTTAGCACGTCATCAAAAAAATACTTTTATTCTACCGGTGCTTTTTTTTCCATCTTAAAAAGGTCAATAGAAACATTTCCTGTACAATTATTAATATGTCGTCGTTTCGAGGACATCATCAAAAGCTGCTGTCGTTGGTGAGCTGGTGTTTCACACCGTAAACCCCGAAGAGTCTTTCTGCTCTTTGACGAAGGATCGGTTTGAAATGAAGTGGAACCGAATCAAGGTTTGATAACATTAGCAGCACACCGCAATGAAATACTTGACCTGTAATTATTTTCAAACCACAACAAATCGATCGGCAACCAGCGCCGCCAAAGGTTTCCGGCTTTGATGTTGGCCGTGTACATATGCAGATTTATTCCATATTCTCGTGCTAATTGAAAGAATCGCGGCCGAATCTTGCAGTGGATGACGATCAAACAAAAATACAAACTTTAAAAAAACTTAAAAGCAAGCATCAGCCGATGCTGGAAGCTAAAAAGCCATTAACCAATCCAAGGCCACTTCCTGCCAAAGTTATGGCATTGCCGCACGTGCATGACATCACGTTAGCCAACACTCCGGCTTACATAACCCGTGGAACAAAGCTGCCTATTGTGTACCGCAGGACTGGTCAGCATTTGAGCCCCAGACACGAGAATTCCACCCACCCACTCACTCAAGGTTTGTCCCTCTGAGCATGTTCATCATTAGCGAGGCGAAACTTTTGTGAGGACTTCAGCTCGCTTTTCTTGCTAATGACTTTCAGCGGTGGCAAGTAATCAAGTAAAAATACTGACTGTACTCAAGGAGATATTCAGGAACTGGGGGATTTATTTTCCAGACAATTGGACTTTTACTTCCTCCCTGATGTATTTGCTCATTGTACTCCTTATTTTGTCACAATAGGGCAGTTACTTTTTTTTTTTCTAACTTCTGCGCAAGAGAACTCGCGTCGAAAAGATTGACAGACGTTGACCTTTATAACGCAAAAAAAAAAATAAAAATGGAGCAGCAACAAAACAAACAAAATGATACCGATATTGATAGTGGTTGATAGCACGCCATGAGATTGATATTTTAATATGTGTAATATATTTGGAGAAAAAAAAGCACACAAAAAATTGAATCTCAAGTATTTTCTATTGACATTAACATTTCCCGGTTTTGAACGACAAGGTGTTACAATTCTAAAGGAAAAAGAGCACAAAAACTCTTGAAGGTTCTGGAAGTTGATTCACGTTTAGAAATGTCATGATGCGTCAACCTGAATTATTAAAAAGTATCTGGATGGATGTTGTCGATACTGGACTGATATTTTCTTGGTAATGGATGGATACCAAATATCACGATATCATGATATCACTCACCGTGTCTTACAAGCAGCAATATCTAACGAGCACTATGCTGCATGTGCTGCATGTAATTCTCCGTAATAATATATCATTTCCGAGGTTGTAGTTTTTGGCGTTGATTTTTGCCACCTTTGATTGCTGCGGAAAGACGCTCGGAACCTATCAACCGCCTATCGGCTCTGATTGAATGCTTCATTTGCCGCATGAGTCTCGCTTCGCTGCACACCTGGCACAACATTTTAAAACCGCCCTCCGTCAGTAGCCGGCAAGACACAATCCCGCCCTCGCTTTTCCTCATACGGGGCGCGGGTGAGCTGAAGCCTATGCCACCTGACTTTGGGCGAGAGGCGGGTTCCGCGCTGGACTGGTCTCCAGCCAATCGCAGAGCATCTATCCACTCACGTTCACGGACAATTTGGAACGGCTTCAATAAACCTCAACGTGTACATTTTGGGGGTGTGGGAGGAAGCCGGAGTACCTGGAGAAGAGACGCAAGCCAGCTTGGGCTGTCGACAGCTCGGACGTGTCGACGCTGTGCGCTGAAGTGACGAAGCAAAAATCACATTTTTAACCAGCCAAAGCAAATATTTTTACTTGGCTATTCATCTTCAAAGATGTATTTCACTTACTCAGTGAAATTGTCTTTTTCACAGATGACAACAAGCTAAAAGAAAGATCAAACACAGAAGCGGATGCCATTTTGGATCTGCGTTTTTCTTTTTTTTTGCTCCACTGCAGGTGGACAATTTAAGTTTGGCCATTGACTATTTTTATTTAAAAGTAAGCCTCAACCAAGTTTCTTTTTTTTCAGAGCTTTTGTTCCAAGCAGTATTGAAATTGTGTTCTCTGTCGGAGTGAACTGATTCCATAAATGTAAAACACTTGATTTTATACAAGAAAGAAAAAAAAAAAAAAAACAAGATATTTACAGCGTTAGCCTCACTTAAGTTGTGAAAAGGGTTTTGTGGCTCCTGGCGTATATTTTTTTTTTCTGTGGGAGAAGAAAAGGCCCTTTGACTCTCAAAGTTCACTGACTCCCTGGCCATACAGTATTGACACAAATAGTGGCAAGACTGCGTTTACTCAACAGCAGATGGCAGAGGCATATAATAATAAATGTTTCTGGTACTGTATATTACAATGGATGTTTCAATAAAAATAGATACTGTTGAGGAAAACACATCATCTGAGACTGTTGCTGTGCTTTGGTCGGCACCGCCAGCAGTGAGCTGGCCTGTGGGGAAGACGACGGGGCTCTCCCCGGCCGTCCGCTGGCCACGAGATCAAAAGTAGTATGTTGCAATGGAAGTTTGAAAAACTGAGCTTTCTGTTCAATTCTAATTTCAATAGGCTCCAACGGAACCATACCCGGGCGGTGATTCTTCGCTTACCACACTTTTGAGACTCACTGTTCCATAGGGTGTCGGCTGGCAGCCAGTCGCCTCCGCAGGCTCTTACGTAGCGCGCTTTACGTAATTACCTGGGCAATTGTCGTCTTTTTCTTTTCCAAACGCCTTGAACGCTTTGCCAAAACTCAGTACAGAGGCCTCGGGATCATGTCGCCAGAGACCAAAAGAGGGAAGCCAGAACACAGAAAATTCTTCAGGAGCTGCTGGGAAAGCACTTAAGTGGTCAATCAAGCGCATGTGGAAAATTCAAAATAGCAAAGAGACAAACAACTTCCTCGATCACACGAACAAACATCGGTTGTTGTACTCGAGTTGGTTTAGTTTCCTCGGTGACTCACGTGCACGTTTCCGATTCGACTTCAATGTCCCACTTGACTTTGTCAGCTTTTCCAGATGAAGGAACCGTGCGGGTGACAAGGGGACCCGCGTTTTGACATCAACACATTTCATGTCATTTTTCAGAGGACGCACACTTTCCTTCCATGTGTTACGATTTGGAAAAGGGTTTGCAGAGGTTGCCTGTGTGGCCGCCACCATATTAGCAAACCCTACTTGGGTCTTGGGATGGTCTCAGGTCTGGAAAGCAGAGCGGTAAAGACCTCAGCCAATTTTCCATAGCAGCTTCAATATGAGAAGTTCTGTGAGGAGACGCCACACTCCAAGTTCTCCACCGCATTTCCGTTTTATTCTCCCCTTCAACCTTGTGTTCTTACTCCGATGTTCTGTATTAGCAATCATTTCGTCACAACTTCCAAGAGTCAAATCTCCCTTCATTTGCGGTGGAAGCAGATGTGACCTTTCACCTCTACCATCAAGGAGACATGTTCTTCATGTGCTCCTGAATAAAATGCCAGCAGAAAACTTTTGCTGTCGTCAATTAGACCAAGACTGAAAGGGAAACCAGGAAGCACACTTCAGTGTTTCTTTTTTTCCCTGTTATGTAACAGCAACAGACGACCTCGCTGCATCTGGGTCCGGGCAGACAGGAAACGACTGAGTTTACCTTTGATGAGCAGTTGCCTTCTACAAAGAAGGATGGATGGATGGATGGATGGATACGATAGCTAGTTAGCTAGCTAGCTCTAGCTCGCCGGCTTGCTAGCTAGCTGGCTCGATGACTAGCTAGCTCGCTCGCTGGCTCGATGACTAGCTAGCTAGCTAGCTGGCAAGATGGCTAGCTCGCTGGCTAGCTAGCGAGCGAGGGAGAAATATTAAGATTAGATCCCAAAACAATTACAGAGGAAATCTCAAAAATAGTATCTATAGAAGATTTTCAAAAAATTCTTTATAAATATAGAAATAAAATAAACGACAACACCACCTAATAGCTGTGTCTCTGCAATCACACCACATATCAAGGATGACCAAGCAAATATTTAATCTGCCTGAATCCGGACCTACCTTAGCTAGCTACACAACGACACCCCAAAAATAAAGGCATTACAGATTTAATCGATTCATGCAGCTAAATATATGAGGGCACTATTCCGTATATTGTCAGAATGCATATTTTGTTTCAGTTTAAATAAAGAACAGCAACAAAAAACACCAACGGATGGTGAGAAGACAGTACCGCTTTGTGTGCAAGTAAAAATGTCAGCGAGACATGGGGAGACGCAGTAAAAAATATTGTCATTTTATTTTAGAAAAGGGTGCTGCTGGCTCAAACACACCTGACAGTCATGTTGGTCTGTGATTGGACCGATAGAAAACACAATACAAAACACAAGACAATCTTCGGCAAAGCAGCTTGGTTGCTTCTTGTCCAAAGCACAGACATCTAGACAAACAAACCCACAAGGAAAGAACGCAAGGGAGACAACATGTAGCTGTGCAATGTTGTTTCAAGTAGGCTTTGTTTGGACTTTTAGGTCGCTCAAATTTGACCGTAAAGATATTTTTGTGAAGTCAATAGCCATAACAACATTTAGTAAGCCTTGCCGAACCCTTGTGCCAGAAAAATGATGCAACAAGGTTTGATGTGGTCATTTCAAAAAGAATTTGGAAACATTAAACAAAATCTTTTTAATGTAAAAACAGCACAATTTGCCATCTTGAGAAATGTGGGTCAATAGCTTGAGCTTCCTTTGCTAAATTACCATGAATATACAGAAATATACAAAATCGTAACGTAGCATGTTAATTGTAAGCGCGACACCAGGCTGTCGTTTATGAATAGAAGTGGTTTTGAATTCTCGACGAGCAATAAAATTCTTTCCTGCCCGATATCTCCCTCCTCCGTCACACCTGAGTCAACATTAGCTATTGGATGTTGAGTTACATCCACACAGACAGTTTATACCACTCGGAAATATTCTCATTCCCATCCCATTAAAAAGTATATATTTTAAAAAAATGATCAACTGACTGTGAGAGAGAGAGCGAGAGAGAGAGAGAGAGAGAGAGAGAGCTTGCTGATGGATCGATAGATCGATAGGTTTGTGAGTACGTGAGTAGACAAGTAACAATATTTGGCACCACCTCTTGTTGTACCGAGTAATTTACTGTGTCTTTGACAACATATAAAGTTGTCCCCTTCTTTGAAAAGAAATAAAGCAAAGCTTCCACACTCCGAGGCAGCATACCCACGTCCAGGAAACAATTCTCTGAAGGGTGTGAATCCAAATAAAACGGCTCCAATCCAAAGAAGGTTGAAATACAGGGTCCCTGCCCGCTTGCAAAGCGTCGACAACAAACCATCGACACATAACGGGAGCAGCTATACACAGGAGGCCCTTAACTAAAGAGGCATGGGTGGTAGGAAAAATGAAGAGAAAATCCCAGGCAAGTCAAGCAACGAATTGAATACACAAGGGGACCGGCTTAAAATCAAAGTGAAAACCCACACTTAAGCGGCAAACTATTAACTAATGAGAAGCAAATGTGTGCAGTCTACAAAAAGGAGCGAGACTCAGACACGAGCCAGAAATAAACAACATAATTACACACAAGAAGATTAAAAAAAAGAAAACCTACACTGTAAGACACCAGGCTGTCGTTTAAAAAAAAAAAAAAAAAAGAAAATGCAGATGCATCGCCAGGCTACTCTTAATCTATGACTGCTGTAAACATGCAGGGTGCATGGTTGCCCTGTGCAGGCGGCTGACCGAACCGAGCCAAGAGGAACAAGTGAAGCGATCCAACTCGAAACACGAAATGAGTTTGTTTCTAGGGCCCCGAGCTGCATCGCGTCCACAAGCTAACAGAGCGACCAAGGCACTGAGGAAGTGTCATGCCGGCCCCAAGAACAAACCCAGGAACAAAGAGGTAAAGGTTTCTGGAAAGAGGACAAAATCGCTACATTTCTTTCGGAGCGCGAGCCGCGTCGGAGGAATGACTGTCGGTGGAAGCAACACGGACATGACATGACAGCAGCAAAAAAATAAAAATATTTGGGGCCTGCTTTACGAAGGGTTTGCACTAACCTACCGACCGGGCAAAATGTTCCATGGTGAAAAGCGTCACAGTTCCATAAAGTGCAAACCCTCTTTTAAAGATGGCGATCCCCACCGCTTTTATCCCCGTTGCCAACACGGCTCAATCTGTTCGAGTGCGTGAACATGCAATTTAGTGCCCGCTACTTGAGATTTTAGTCAATCAGGCCCTTGAAGTGAAGTTCGATACAGAAGGACAAAATGGAACAAGTTCAAAAGAAACGGACACAAGCAGATAATGACAACCGAAAGATCAGACACGATCGTGGAAAGGGTCAATGCTCAAAAGTTGACTTGCAAAAAAATAAAAACCAAAACTCATCAACCTCTCTGTCCAGTCAGGAGCTACGACCGCCCAAGTCACCACTTTCACAGTCGCAGACAAAGGCAGCTGTCTGTCGTAAAAAGATGCTAGCCAACCTAACTTGAACGGCAGTCTACTTCAAGGGGTGCCCAACTTTTTTTTTTCACCAAAGATCTACTATTCAAGTAACCCAACTCCCGCGATCGACCCGCTACTGCACATCCACACAAATGCTCACACACACGCGCCCGCAATGATGAGCAACAGCCATAACGGCCCCTGACATGAGCGAAACAGGAAAATAAAGTCGATACAAGCGTTTGTGAAAAAGCAAATCACCGTCTACCTTCGCGGGAGACCTGACGCGGAGGCACGAGGCGCACTTTAGCAGCGTGTTAAGTGCAGAAACGATCGTACGTTCACGTACCGTTTTAAAACGTTTCTCATGGCGCTCCAGATTCACATTCTTTGCCAGTGCCATCAATTAATTGCAGATGAGACAAACTTTGAATGAGAATAATAATAATAATAATGACAAAAAAAAAAACAAAAATCTATCGCAACAGCGCTTATCGTAGGCTGCATTAGCAGACTGCTGACCGCTAACAACTTCCGGTGATGGCGGTCACGCGCCATCATAGGTTAAAGGTAACCTGCTTGATTATATTTTTTTAAATGTTATGTTTATTATGTCAATACTTTTTCTTCGTGAAAGTGAAACCGATCGGATGTTAAGTGTACAGTGTACACCAACAGAAAAATCGATAATATTCATAACACGCACACAGACACACAATTTTTTTTTTCCCATTTCCCCTCGACACCCCTGGCGATCGACTTGGGACGAGACGGCGGACTACCGGTCGATCGCGGTTGACGTATTGAGCACCCCTGGTCTACTTCATTGTGAGATTGGAACATTCTAGAATGCAAAAATAAAATGAATCAGGTTGATGGTGACTGGTACCAGGAGGATTGGGGCCACCCTGAAAAGTAAAAAAATATATTATTAGGGAACACAATGATTAAGAATACACCCGTGTAAAGGAATGAGAGAAAAATAGAAGCAACCCAAGTATAAAATGAAAATGATGACCAGCATGACTGGAGTACCTCTTAAGCTTGCAACCCGTTATGTGGTGGAGCTGCCCCGGCGTTCCAGGTATCTGCACCGTGAAAAGGACACAAAAATGACGTTTAACCAGTCGACATTTGACAAAAGAGCAAAACGTCACAACAATGAGTGAGCCGGTTAAAAGTTTTCGATTTCCCCAACTGAAGCAAAGTTCTTTTGGGATTAGTAGTTCAAGCTTGTGAGTGAATGCTGACAATACATTTGCGCTGTTTTCGAGTGGAATCACTCACACTTGTGTCTGTCGCACAAAGTCTGCAAAATGTTGATCCCTGGCGCACAGCTCGATGATCCTCAGACGCTCCTGGATCTCCTGCCGGAGGTAAAAAAAAACGTCGAATGACTCAGAGGTTTTGCACATGGCTGTACGCATCATTGGTTTCTCCGGCACGACGTCGACCACTGAGAGCACTTGAGAGGTGACCGTCTCGTCAAAGACAACATGAGATGTGGCACACAAAATGCAAAACGTCACAAGACATGGAGACCAAACCACAAATGTCTCGCACTTCTTTGGTGAGCGCCATGTTCTGGTAGATGTGCCGGACCTCCTCGCTACTGAGCTCATTCGACGTTGCCGTGGGGCTGCTGTACTGGGGACAGTCATCGTCATAGCGACGGTAGTACTGGGTGGTGACGGGGTCGCTCTCAAACATGGGGTTAAATTTCGTGGCACGTTCCAGAGTTGGCACGCTGTCGCCTCGTCTGCAACACAGAATATTAGTCACTCGCACAAAGTTTGGACTTTGTCGAACCGCTTGAAGTGGTGTCATCAATTAAACTAATGTGTAAACCAGTGCTGCAAAACCCTTTTTTTGTCTCATAACAAAAAATAGCGCCCGACAATATTGTGTTCTATTAAAAGTCATAACACAACGACATAAAATGTAAGGAAGTCATTTTTGACGCTTTTTTGGGCATCAATTCGCTGGACATTGTGCTGCTCAAAAATGCTCAGTAAGCTGCAGAAATACTCGTTATTCTTCACAGAGGATAAAGAATGCATGCCTCTGAGTATTGTTATCTTAGCTGTCTACATGTGTTGCTCCAGCATTTATGCTTAAAAATCCATTGCTCAAAAGGGTACGACACCTAATGCTATTCATTATCCCATCCGTGGCGTTTTGCAGTCTTCTTTTATTTAGCTTGAAGCTAAGCAGACTTTAGGCATAGCAATGTGTTGTTTGACATGACACGTGTAAATCTCTTTGTTGTACATTTTGTTTGGCAGTGGGGAGTGTGGCATTAAGCAGTTTAAAGCATGATTTTTTTAGGGTTTTTTTTGTTAAGAATTAGTCAGAAGAATTGTTCACTATCTGCCAAACGTCTGCTTTGGTGTGAAGTGAGATGAGTTTTAAGTGAGGTCACTCTTGTCTCAAAGCAACACTATATACTGAAACGATGATCTCTTCATCTGCAAATTAACTTAGTGTGAAATGTGGGCCTGTTTAGTTGACCACTAAACTCACTCAACTGGGTCTCACTGGTGTAAAAACAAGCACTGGGTGAGCGACTGCCCCGACTCACCGCAGCGGATCCTCCATGTCCTCGGTGTCATACTGCTCACGCAGGGTCCTGGCCAGGAAGAAGATGATTCCTGCCGCCACCGCAAGGAAACCCGCGACCGAGGCGATGGCAATGCCGACCACCAGCGGCTCGGAGACGTACTCCTCGCAGTGTTCGCCGCGGTACCACCAGTTCTCTCCTACGCGGCACCTGCGGTTATTCAAGAGAAGTCAAGAAGGGGGCAAACCACAGACGGTGTGGCCCACGTGCCCTTCATGTGAAAGATTAAACATGCCTGGAACACATACAGTTAAGACTGGAAAAATGTTTCATGAGATTTGATGTTACAAATGAACCGTAACTGTGGGGCTGCGGTGTGTTTAACGGCTTTAAAAGAAAGTACGGTAACATGAAAAGTAGTAATGAAAAATAACGTCGGGACAGAGGTCACGTTTCCTCGGCTTTTGCTGCCGAACATGTTCACACAATCCTCAAATTGGCCCTTGCAACAAAGAAGTCTGACCTGCAGATGGCGCCCTTGCCGGCAATGATGTCGCATTTGCCGTCATTGAGGCAGAAGTCTTCCTGCACGTCACAGACGCTTTGGCAAGGCAGGCCGTCCACGCTCAGATATCCCGCGTCGCAAACGCACTCGGCCTCGCCGGACCAGCGATTGACCATACACTGCGAGAAGGCGTTACATGCCTGGAACTTGCAGGGGTCCGCGTTGTCACCTAGACAGGAAAACAAAATAAGCCTCATTCTTATTACCTACTTTTAACCATCACGCTGAGCTCCCGTCACTCTAAAAAAAAAAAGTATGTACAGTATAGTTGGATATATATTTACCTGACTCATTAAATTGATTGTATTGGGTTAAAACAGTTCCGTTTCGAGAAATGGAACTTTCAGATTTGACAACACAGGTGGAAAAAGTACTCTCACACTGTAAAAGTACAGATATGAGTATTTAGAAAAAAAAAAGACGAGTAAAAGTAGAAATGGCCTCCTGAGTTTACTCCTTTACTCAAGGTAAAGTAAAAAATAGACTTTGTTTGTGTTTTTTTTACAGTTAAATTATTTTTTAACAGGTTGGACGGCAGTAGCAGAGTGAACTGTGCAGATCGAGGTCAACAAGATGGCGCGGCTGACCAGTGCGACTCTGTTCCGCTCACGTTCCTCCCAGACAGATTAACTCGGTCGTATGTGACCTGACTGCTGCGGCGATGGCGTGTCAAGAGTCTTTGCACGCAGTGACACAACTCAGACCGGAGTCCTCCTCGACATTACCGTTAAACGGTTTTCGGTGGAAGTGACGGTTGACTGAACGGTAATACGCAAAATGTACACGATCGAGCTTGTCGGGCATTTCAGCTTTGAGATCTCAAGCGGATTAGAACCGTACAATGACAGCGAAGCTCAGTTTGTAAAGGACTGACTGCTTTGGGGACCAGCGAGTGGTGGGTAGTGCTTTTAAAAATAAGTCTGAATAAGTTAAAAAATATATACAGTAGTATACAAGTGTACCAATAATGCGTTGTATAAATGTTCTGCATTGAGTCAATTGTAAATTTATTTCTTAAAAGGGACATCTATGGAAAATGTACTTTTTAATGTTGGCATACAATTGTTTGCATCTCTGGAGTGTTATCCCATTGGTCATGTGTTAAATGAAGTCACCAACTAAAGTGTTTTTAATCGGCCGCTTTCTATGACGGGGTCGGGGGGTGGGGGGGGGGCATTTTGCACTTCCACCCCATTGTCGCATATGTACCAGTGGCTAATTTGAGTCATTTCCAGCGCTACAGACTTTCTCTGGCTATGTCTTGGATGCTTTCACAGCGAAGTTTCAGAGCCACTTTCAAGTGCTGGCCAGCGACTGACGGCTGGACTACCCAAAAGTAATGTCGTGTAAAAAGGCAAAAAGTGAGCAGGAGTTGCAGGGGCAGCAGGAGCGTCGATTTGCGCTCGTTTCGAACGTTAACAGTGGCTATTCAGCGGCATTCAATCGCATCGGTAAAATAGCAGCCTATGTTATAAAAACATAACAGTAATGACGATTTAAATAAAATCGAATTGTCATTTTTGTGGCATTTCATGCTTGAATTCAAGCTCAACCATCATCGCCTATCAATTGTCATCATTTGCAATCCGCAGCATTATTTCGTACGTCCTTGGATTAAAAACTGTGTGCATGTTCCAATAAATGAGCAAGAGGCTCCGTCTTACCTGACTCAACATCCAGCGAGTACTTATCAATGGCCAGGTTCATGGTCTGGTAGGCAGTGTTCGCAAAGTCCTCGAGGATGAGGAAGACAACATTGGCAACGCCTCGAGAAACCGGTTTGCCAAATCTCATCCGGCTATTGACCACAATACTGCCATTTCGGAAGTTGAGGATCTCTAAGTTCTGGAAGTTGTTGAGGTTGGACTGCAAGTATGGGACCAACTGAAAGAAGCACAAAACACGTCATATGTTATTCTCGCGACGGGTTTTCACTCCGTGGCGGACCAGTCCTCACCAGTTGTAGAAACCGTTGCTCCAGTGCTTTGTATTCGGGGGAGCTCTTGTTGAAAAGGTCCATCGAGAAGGCCATGTTGGTCACCCGGAGTCTGAAGAACACCGTCAGAGCTTGGATCGGCCTGGTGGGCAGCGCGATAGCATCCAGCTCGGAGCCCCGCGCCCCGCTGGAGTAGCCGCTGCTGTCACTTTCGGTGACCATGCCGCCGTACTGGAACACGTCAAGGCTGACGCCGATGCCTGTCACGCTCGAGGGGTTGCGCTGGACGGTCTGCAATTCCGTCGCTTCTGTGCTGTTCGGGTTTACCGGAGGCATCAAAGTTTCCGTTTTAAGGATTTCAAAGTTGGGGGGTTTTTCATCGACTTCTGAAGACACCGTGCCGAAGAGACCGTGATCTTCGTGATGAAGTGAGTCGTCGTCTTCGGGGGCTGAATCCGACACCCGAGTGAACGGTGAATCCTTCTCGGGAGAGAGGTCGATGGGGTTGGGGTCTGAACTGACGGGAGATAAAGTGATGACAGGAGCAGTGGCAGTAGCAGCGGTCTTTGTGACAACTAAGATTTCATCGACGGCCAGGTCTTCGTCGAGGGTAACGACCACTGGCGTCGGTGGAAAGAACGGGATATGCTGCTCCTCGAACACTTCCAGCTCATCGCGGTGGGTTTCAGGAAGTGGCAAACTCGGTTCTTCAGGTAAGATTTCCTCACGAGGCGTTTGAGGAGGTAGACCGTCCAAGCTTGATTCTTCAACCGCAATTGTTCTTACTTCTTCAACCGTTGGCCCTTGTGTGGTCTTGTCGGGGTCTTCAGACGTAATCGCTGCTGCGGCGTCAGTGTTTTGCTGCACAGCAGAAGCTTTTGTGGTTTCGCTTGTCACTGCCACTTCGGGTGCAAAACCCGGGCGCTCGTTAGACCAGGTCTGCAAATGAGGTGCGCCCGTGAGTGCCACCAAATTGTGTTGATCCTGCGTCACCTGAGACTCTTCGTCGAGGCCGGATGCTTCCACTGTTTTCATCGACAACTCAACTGTCAACGTGCCTTTCGGTGAAAATACGGGTGGACCACTGGTAGCCAAGCGTGGGTCCGTGCTGATGTGCGGTGTAAATAAGGCCTGATCCAAGAACGGGTTCTCAAATGGAGGAAGTGTGTGCAAAGGTGTAACGGGAGTAGACTCGGAACCCATGACGCCATCCTCTTTGCTGGTTAGTGACTGATCGAGAGTTTCGCCTACTTCCTGGATTCCATCATCTTCATCGGTCTCTTCCAGATCCGGTGGCGGTAGGACCTCCAGATGGCTTTCACCATAAAAGCTTGCTTCCAGTTCCCAAGACTGACGAACTCCTTCCTGCCCGTCTCCCGAGAAACCGGAGCCGGATCCAAAGTCCATTGTGACCTCAAGGCCTTTCTGAGAAGGTGGAGCTTTGGAAGCTTGGCGGTCCCCTTGGAAGGGTTTGTTTCCTTCATTACTCATGAGAAAACCCTCCTTTTCAATATTTTCATCAGCTGTCAATCATAAGAACGCATGCCACATTAAAACACTTGTGTGACAATGCATAGAACAGAACTCGATATGAGGAAACGTGTTGGAAATGATCCAATAAATGCCCAATCTAATAACTAATAACTCACAGTCTTGTCTGTTTGGCAGCAGACTTGGTATCCTCTCAAGGATCGGTGGAAACGTCGTACTCTCATCCACCGTGAAGACGTCGTTTTCGCTCACCGCTTCGCTCCTTGTGTCTTTCCACGAGTCAAACGAGTCAAAAAGGAAGTCATCTTTCTTCAGAAAACCGTCACCGTTCTCCATCTCGAGACTCGGCGCGTCGGGTGGTCTCTCCGCAGCAAGGACGTTGTCCTGTCCAGATGATGATGATCACAGATTAACTCATTCACTCCCAAAGACGGAATTTGCCGTATTTGCCGGCGAGTCACCATGTTGTCGTAGAGGTCGGCCGGTCGACTTGTCGGGTCCCCCGGAGGTAACACGTTTCCAGCTGTAGGACACAGACGGTACATTTCAACACCTCGTGAGTCTGAAGTCGATCAAGGTGAGTGTCAACTCCTCTCGTTCTGAAGAGATAAAAATCGAGTTCCGCTTCCAGTCACCGTTCTCTAGCAGCAGCGGGTCCGAGTGGGTCCCCAGACTGCTGTTGGTCAGCACGTTGTCTTTGCGAAGAGCTTCCGTAATGTAGTTGCGGAAGTCTGTGATGGTGTAAACGACGGTTGGCTCCTCGGCAGCCGCAGGGTAGCTCTTCTCCACCAGGTTGTTCTGCTGCGTGATGAAATCCATCGTGGCATTGGAGATGCCGTCACTACCGACCGCCAAAGTGATGGCGTAGTGGACATGAACCACCAGACCCCTAAAAAGACAACAACGAAGCAGAAACATATCGATTGGCCGCTGTCTCACTTCCTGGCTTGCTGCACATGCAGCAGTTTTTACTCTTTAAGGATGCGGCGGCCTTACCGTTCTAAGTCCTTCTGAGGTCTGAAAACAGAGAAAAGTACACAAAGAAAAATGGAAAAAAAAGTTCTCAACACAAGTCTGTCGGCAATTGTTTCAGCATAACAAGATCCGCACCTGAATTCGATGACAAAGGCGTTCTTGAAGCCTGGCAGCTTCTCAAAGGCGTCTCTAACCTGGACGTAAACCACCGTCAACAAAGATTGTTTTCATAACTTGTTTATACAGTCGAACCTTTTTTCAATGTTCCCACCCCTACGATGTTCACATTTCAAAGCCCCGATTTCAGGTCATTCATTTTCCATTTGCCGATTTTGCTTCCAGCGAACACCTTTAGAACGTCAACGTGATCATACCGACCAGATTTTTCCCACAAAATAATGAAAAGGCCTTCGCTGCCACGAACCGTGGGAAACAAACTGCCGCCGCGACCTTGCTGATGAACAAAATGTACGCCGCGGGACTCCCCTCTGTTGCTTAGCAACGCATTCAGATCGACTGCTACATTGTTGTCCTTCTCGAGGCATAACGCACGTGGTCTGAAAACACGTCTGGTAAACGGAAGCAAATCTCGTTGTCTGTGAAGGCTGAAATGGTCTACCAATTCCGAAAGGGAGACTCTCCCAGATGACGCTCAACAGAAATTGCCAATTGGTTGACGATTTCGAAAATCATCCCGAATGGCAACAAAATCACGGCAGAGTTCGAGGCCAACAGATCGAAAGTAGATCGTAAACGGATTCGGGAGGCGGCATATCCTGAAGTGGAGATGGCACTTTTCATTTGCTGGCTGAATGTTTTCCGAGATGACGTCGCAATGCTACACTTGTTTGTTTTATTTCTTTATATACACATATTTGTAATTGACATGTTTATACTGTATCACACGTTCATATTTTTACACCTATAAATGTTCATACTGCATTATACAGCGCATTTGGCGGCCATTTTATTGGATGTGGTTTTAACGAACGACCGAGGTAACGTACAGATTCGCTACGTCGCGAGGTTCGACGGTAAAGAACTTTAATGAAGAAAAATTGGCGACCCATTGAACATGAGCACTGAGACGATCAAGACCGTTTAAAATAATTTTGACACAAAGCTCAACTTGCTTGCGCACGAACGTACCCTGCGGATAAAGTGTCGAACTAGTTGCTGGTAGTGGACACTACTCGGGTCTCTCAGGGCTCCGGTGTAGGATTCTTCCCTCAGTGTCATGCTCAGCTCCACCATCTGGTCCTTCGGCGGCCTCAGGAAGTTGTCGATTTCATTATGAAGCTGAATGTGTGTAAGAACATGGGAAAGTTTTAGTGAAGTTGAAAAAAATAAAACAAAAATTGGTGATCTGCGATGCGTCTGACTCACCGAGTTCTCCTGCTCCTCAAAGGGGAAACGTAGCAAGTTGTCATCGGCCTTCAGGGGGCTCTCTGTGGAATCTGGGAAATTGCCGTTGTTGTATTCCACGATGTACGTTGTGGTGGCTGGCACGTAGCCGCTCGGTGTAGCCTCAACCTCGGCGTCACTTTCCGCAGTGGCTCTAACGACCGTTTCGTGGAAGGGTGCCTCTGTGCGTATTCCTGCTTCCGCCGCTGCGTCTGTCAAGATGAGCTGGACTGCGTCAGGAGGAACCTCCGCAGGACTGGACCTGGCACTTTCCGGGGAGTCATCATCCTCAGAGGAGACAAGTGGGCCGACATCTTTACCTGCAAGCTCCTCCTCAACTTCATGAACTATTTCTATTTTTTCAGCATGATCAACTTCGACTGCAGAACTCTGTGTGGTCATTTCCGAAGGACGCCCCGATTCCGAGTCTTCCGGAGGTTCTTCTATAACTTCCAGCAACTCTGATTTAGTGTCTGGCAGTAATTTCTCTGAACTATCCACAGAAATAACTGGACTTACGTCATCATCAGACTCAGCATGTGCCTCGCCAATGTTCGCTTGAATTACCTTGACCGGGTCTTCAGGTTCGGAACTTTTTGATGTGGATTCTTCTGTTATGTGTATCCTGTCATCCATTTCCTCCGAAGTTTCAGCCCCGGGTTCGGGTGTCGTCTCCGCAGATGTGAAGTCAAGATGCGCGTCGTGTGTGCCAGGTACTCCAGGTCCAGTTTCACCTCCCACAGATTTTGCTCCTGAAGGATCCGTTTCCTCCCCGAGCTTGATATCAAGTGCTAGTTGTTCTTCTTCCAGCATTTCCGTGACAACCTCTGCAGGTGGAATGGGCGCTTCGGCTGGATTTTCAGCAGCTTCAACAAGGCTTTCCTCTCGTGCCTCATCGACTAATTTGACACACTCTTTAGGAGCCACGATTGGCTCTTCCTCATTTGTGGCATCCTCGGCAACTTCGAGTGGATCTTTCAACGAACCGGTTTTCTCTTTTTCCAATTGTGTTTCTTCAGTCAGCACGTCTGCGAGAGATGGATCTGGAAGACCTTCCTCTGTGAAAGCGGTGACCCCTGGACGACTATAGTCTTGTGGGGCCTGGACAGTCGGCTTAGAGATTAGCTCTACAATAGCATCAGTAGGTTCCTTTGCGGTCTTGTCAGAGTGACTTTTGACATTAGAACCACAGCCGACAACAACAGAGTCAGAGGTCGACTCCACGGGAGCCTTCGTTAATTCCTCTTCAAGGACTTCTTCGTGTGCGGAGGCTGAAGGTTTCCAAGTTGGGGCCTCTTGGCCAGGGGTTTCTGCAACAGCAACATGCCAGCAAAAATAAACATGAAATATAAATATTTTTTTAAAAAAGAGATGAATCATATGGAATAAAGTGAAGATAAACCTTTTCGTCTCTTCACGCACAAACATAACGCACCGATGTCATCCGACAACAATGTTGTGAGCATCCAAACTTTCGACTGTCCCTCGACCCGTTTTTACCAAACCCAGACTTCGCAGGTCGGTTGTGATGACCCCTGGTACTCATCTCGCACTAAGCTCGGGAACGCTTCATCTTCTGGTCCGCCATTGACCAGGCTGTGGCCTGTAAATAGGCTTAATGAGCTATTCTGGGCAGAAGGGCGCATGTGTTCCGGCGCCCACTGCTTGCTCCTGCTTGTGGGGTGGAAGTGGACACCGACCATAGCCTCTCTTAACCGATTTCAAACTTGCGCGCACAGTTTTACAAAACACGGTCTCCACGTCCCACTTCCAGTTGACAAAATATCTCGATTCTCCCTGTTTGGAAAGTTTTTTCTTTTTTTGTGAATTGAAATTTTTACGATGATGTGGATGGCACCCGGCAGCACTTCTGCACCATCCCCTCTTCAACTTTTCTCCCTTATCGGCCGCCTTCCTGACAAAACAGAAATGTTCCTTCCTGGAACCAAACCAAGCCCAAGGGAAACGGTTTTACAAATTGACAGCTGGAGTTCGCCTTCCCCTCAGACGTTATAGCCCATGAGGCCCACATACACTCTTTGTGTGTTTCCAAGATTCTCAAGAAAACAAAAGCCAAATAATTGTAGGATTCTATGAAACTATCATCTGTTTGAGGACTTTCGGTCCGGATCTCAAATGCTCATATTACTGAGAAAGCACCAGTGAAAGTGACTAATCTCGGAATTAAAGGAACTGTCTTTAATTGGTTTAAATCCCACTTGTCAGATGGCCGACACTTTGTTCATATCAGCAATCAACGACTGGTCTATTACACACATTACGCACATTCACGACGGGTTTGTCTCGGGTACGCCGCGCATCACGAAGTGCAGTGTGAAAAGATCTTGACGCTGATGACACACAATTTTATTTATCAATGTAACATGAAGAAACCAATCAGTCATCCAAATTTAAGGCGTGCGTTTTAGAAACAATGACTTGGAAGACTGAAGATTTTTTTCTTTCCAATTTTCGACAAAAATCTAATTAGCCATAATAATAATAATAATAATAATCATACAGAGATGCTTTGGCACCCAGGAAGTACGAGGCAAGGTGTTCAATGACGTAATGTATAAGCTAGAGATCGTTTTGCTCCCCCCCCCCCGGCAGCACAGTGAGGACCCTTTGATTAGGATTTAAGATTCAGCTCCAACATAAAACAAGTCTTCATGGACAGCATTTTTTTCACATGTGAAACATTTTTGAATTCCTCGTCTCTATCCGATGCAGGGAAAAAAAAAAAACTAGTGCATCCTTGTGACCTCTAGCCTGGATTATTGTAACTCTCTCTTAGCAGGCTGCTCCATCAAATCGCTAAAGACTCTCCAGCTGGTTCCTAAATGTTGTGGCACGAGCACTCGAACGAGCAGAAGAGGTCTTGTTTCCGCTGTGCCAACTTCACGACGCTGGCTCCCTATAAAATGTTGAATGAAAATTCGAATTCACCTCGTCGGAAGGCACTAAAGTGGTGCCTTATGAAGCTACAAGAGCAACGGTTCTCAAACTTTCTGGGTCCCGGTGGGGACCCCTGAGGGCCGCCGCACACAGAGCGATGCGGCGAAATTTCCACTCAACATCCGTGCAGTGTGCTGGGTGCTTCCACAAGATTTCACGAGCGCCTGAGGCTCAGCCACTGGTTTTGTGTTGATTCAAAATTTGAATCTTAGTTGGGGAATATTATGATATACGGTATATTATGTATATATTATAGAATAATTCAACATTTTATGAACATAGCTTTTTTTCCCATTGGCTTCAAACATTGTTATTCTATTGTGCAACAAATGTAATATAAAATAAAATAACACAGTCAACTATTGGGAAATGAGGTTTGTTAAGTAACTCTTACTTAATGCATACGTCACAATCATATCAAAGCTTTTAATAAGCCCACAGCTAATGTAGGGAGAAGTAATTGGTTTAGTACGTCTCTTTTATTGGCGCAGCGCTGCCCATGTGTTACGTGAAATGATACAACAATAACCGATTGCGAGTTCTTTTTGAGGACCGTCAGGGCCCCAGTTTGAGAGCCGCTGCACTAGAACACGACACTGCCAAAGTTCAGATTTACACTGATTCCCCAAATCTGAGGAAGTAGAACAGAAGGAAGAACCTTCAACGATCAGGCCCCTTTTCCGTGGAAGCATCAATCGTGCGTCTGGGAGGCAGACGCTCTCTCGTCATTTTAAAAGCAGACTCGAGTAGTCATCTTTCTGGTCAGGGCTGACTCAGGTTTGTCCTGGGTCAACCCCGAGATAAGCTGCCGTAGGCCTAGACTGCCGGGGGGATCTGATGATACGCGGAGTCCGTCTCTCTCTCTCTCTGCGGCGGTTTGCATTCAGACTGTGTGCCGAAATGTACGGGCGGCATCCAGCAACGGGGAAAACAATGAAATGCGTTTTTTGTTCAATTTTGTTTGGTGGAGTCCCCGTCAGATTTATTCGAATATAAAATGTGTGCCTTGGATCGGTAAAGGTTGGGAAACATTTTTCGACTCCACTTTCTCATTTCAGACACATATACTGTATTAATAACGTCACCTGGTGCACTTAGTTCCATTTAAGAAACACCCATTGCCTGGGCCGCTCCCTCACCGCTAAACTGCCGACATCCCCATCCGTAGCACGACTACAGTCCTCGTGTGTTTCAGCTTCCCCATAATTGCCGCTGAAAATGCCAGCTCTTACAGAACTCTGCATTCAAGACACTGCAGCAGCTCCATGACCACGACTTTACTCTTTTTTTTCTTATATCTACCATAACGTCCATCCATCCATCCATCCATTTTCTAATCCGCTTATCCTCGGGAGGGACGCGGGTGTGCTGTAGTCTATCCCAGCTGTCTTCGGGCAGTAGACGGGAGACACCCTGAACCGGTTGCCAGCCAATCGGAGGGCACACAACCATTTAAAGGAACAACCATTCACAATCACAATCACAATCTGGAGTGTTCAATCAGCCTGCCAGACATGTTTTTGAAATGTGGGAGGAAACCAGAGCACCCGGAGAGAATCCACACAGGTACGGTGAGAACATGCAAACTCCGCACAGGATGGACGGAGCCGGAATCAAACCCCGCACCTCTGCGCTGTGAGGTGGACGTGCTAACCAGTCGCTCACCGTGCCGCCATTCTACCATAACACTTAAAACATATTGGTTCAGAAACACTTACTCCTCCAATTAACTCATCCGGCCGACCATCCACCCATTCAGTTTCCACTGCTTATCCTGTTCAGAGTCACAGGTGAGCTGGATCGTCTCCCAGCTTGCTTTGGCCAAGAGATGGAGTACATGCAAACTCCACACAGGGAGGCCGGAGCTGGAATTGAACCCGTTACCTCTGCACTGTGAGGTCGACGCGCTAACCACTGCACCACCGGGCCGCCCAATGCTAACAATATTGTTTGAGTATTAACAATCATTACCACAGTGACAATGGTTCTGGTAGCTTTCTCCCATTTCTTTTTTCCCGCTGTACCTTTCATACCACGACCACAATCCCTCCCACATCCCCTACTTTGACTTGAGTTCAGTACCACTACCACTACTACTACTACTACTACTACTACTACTACAAAGAAATGTACTCTTATACGGAAAGACGTGCTACTTTGTTGACATCAAAGGTTCACAGTGTCAGGTGACGCTTTACCTGGCTGGGCGCTGGTCAAAAGTCCTCCAACTGGAATGCCGGACAAACTTCCAGAACTATGGGACAGAAACACAAAGTAAAATGGGAGAAGAAAAAAAATGTTTCGTTACGTCGAATCTTTTCACACGTTAATGTATGCCAAGCGACAGAGCGCAGTTAGGCGCGTCACGTAAATGTACGCATGAAGCAACCATAAGCGGCGGAAAGGGATAGCCAGACGTTTTTGAAGTGGAGATGTTCAACACTGTGCGTTTGATTTTTGTGGCAAAAGGAACCCTCCATATTTCAGGTTATTTAGCCTATTTCAACATGGACAGCCATTTTTTTTCTGCTTCCCATCTACTCCAGTCATAGCAAAATAGCAGATATTTAAGATTTTCTGTCATCAAGGTCAGCACACAACAAACTGAAAAAATGAAAGCAAAACCAAGAGAAAGGTACAGCCTGCCATCTCTTGTGAATTGACACATGGAGGCCTACCTGCACAGAGGTGGGCCTGAGCTGATGGAAACACTGCAGCAGGTGAGGAAAGACAACACACGTTTTGTCAACAAGACATCAACGTTTGGTGAGCTTGCATGCTCCTCAACTGGTGTTCATTGTGTCTGCAATTCTGACTTTCTGTGGAAGGCCGCTCAATCGAGACTCAAGCAAACACGGGCAAATATTTCCGCTCTACGGAACTTGGAGACCACGGACATGCAAAAGAACCACAACCCTGCGCTCTTGACAAAGAAGGACCAACAAACATGGTACCACAAATTTGCATTCTACCCCACTCGGTATGTCTTGCTAAATGAACACAAATATGAGAGTCCCAGAGGATCAGGGAACCAATAATGCATGAATGCATTCTAGGATTTGTTGTATCATCACTCCGTGTTATCTGCTTATATATATAGCAGTCATGTGAAATTTTCTTATAAAGCATGAGAGACTGACCTGCTTATGGGTGCCGCCATGCCAACTCTCTGAAAGAAACATCCAAAGAACCTTGTTAGATGTGTACCGGCAGATCCGAAACCAGAACGAATAGGCGACTCACGCTGCGAATGAGTCGGAGGTGCTCCTCCGATTGACTGAAGAACCTCCCAATCTCCTTGATGCTAATGGAGCCATCCATGCAGCGGCCCACCCAGTCCCGATACTGGTCGCGTTCCGGCAGGTGGTCCCAAAATATCTTGAAGGCCTCCCAGATCGTCTCCTGGCACACTGGAGCACAACGGAAGCGCTTAAACCGGGAGTCACCAACATGGTGCGCACGGGGGGACCGGGTCGCCCACACAGACCACATGGTAGGGAGCCATTTGGAGGGGAAAAACAAACAAGCAAAAAAAAAAATTATAGATAGATAGATAGATAGAAAGATAGATAGATAGATAGATAGATGGATAGATAGATGGATAGATAGTGAGAGAGAGACTATCCCAGCTGACTTTGGGCGGAAGGCAGACTACACCCTGAACTGGTCGCCAGTCAGTCGCAGGGCACATATAGAGACAAACAAACATTCACAACCACGCTGCCGGGACACAAGTCAGGCGATTGGACCACTACACCATCAGCGCTTTCGAAGAACATAAAATGAAGGGTAATTTCAGCAAATTCGGAAGTGTGTATCAAACCGGTATCTCTTTGTATTAATCGGTGCCCAAGAGGTAGCTCTCAGTTTCAAGAAGGTTAGCGCAGCTTCAGGAAATCAGAACTCTTGCGACCCACCTATTGGAGACTTAACCATTTGGCTTTGAGTGACATCCGACCTCTCTGCCATTAGGTGCTTCTAATGATGCCAGATGTAGTTTTTAAGCTGGTTAAGACAAGCGCTTTGTGCATTTTAAGCGCAAAAGCCAGTCTAAAACGTCATCGTGGCGATTGGCACATTGTGACAAACCTCTGAGGTGAAAGTAGTTAAGGTGGTTGGAGACGGCTTGGTCGAGCGTCTCCTGACTGCAAAGTTTCACTCCGCTGGGAAACAGAAGGTTCCTTTTCCTGCGGGGCATGGATCCGTGATGCCTTAACAGAAGCCGCAGGTCTTCAGATGAATCCTCCGTCTCGTCGCCTGAGAGTGGCGAGGAAGCACAAAGTGACCACAACAGGTGAGCGACAAGCCTTTTCGCGGCGAGAAACTGACCTGTGTCCATGTTGACGCAGCCGGACAGAAGGAGCAGCCCCAACGTCCATAACCACAAGCCGCGACGCTTTCCCGCCATATCGAAGCCAAGGCCGCCGCTCACGTCCTCAGCTCATGTGTAAACGTCCCTCGCCCTTGTCCAGACGTGGTTTGGTGACGCGGCGGAGGGACGGAGCTCGCCGGGTGGCTTCGTCTCAGGTGAGCAGATGGAAGCTCTAATCCTATTTGTTAAGCTGTCGGGCTGGATGAGCGTTAGCGGGCAGACGTTATTTACTTGACCCGGCTTCTTCAATGTGTTTCTCGTGTCAAATAACCCAGCGGTTAAATGCCTCCAGAGTCCATCTTATCTTTATTTTAATTACAGTTCTCAAAATATCAACAACTAATGTTTCAAGTGGCCGTTATTATTATTTTTGCTCCACGGGGGATACCAAAAGTCTACACAACCCTGATCAAATGCCAACTTTTGTGATGTTACAAAATTATGATCATGTGATTAAACAAATTTAATGTGGCCGATACTCTGGCAGACTCAAGTAAAAAGAGGGGTATAAAAAAACAGTTGGGTTGCATAAGTGCGCACACCCTTTTATAACTGGGATGGAGCAGTCACATTCAAACTTGATTTAAATGGGACTCGGGACACACCTGCCTGCCTCCATTTAAAGTGCCAATCCCAATTCAATTTCAGGTGTTCTAGTAGGCTTTTTCTGCTTTTTTTTTTTTTTTGCTTTGTAGCAGAAATCTGGAGGGGATTTGTGCTTTCTACTGTTTATAATTTATGAACACATTTATGAGCTATTATGAATATTTATTCCCTCTACCTTGACTAAGGCCCCAATTCAAGTTGAACAAAAGTGGCCTCGATGCGTGCTGCTGCCACCAACAATGTTGTGTTTGTGCCAAATATACCTTTGAGAACTTCGACAAAGTGAAGGGAATTATCAATTAGCAGTGTGCGTTAGTTGTTGTACGTAATGAAATGAAATGCCATTTAACAATACCATCTAACTTTGATTGCAGTTCATCGTGATGCCCCGACCCCTTGAATAGCCAAGATATATTTACTCAAGTCCATAACCATCAAGAAAAAGTCAGTCTGAATCAAGAGTCGCACTGTAGCCTCATGAACGTTTTGTACTGTTTCAAGTCAATCAGATTTTCCCACTATTCCCTTCCGGTCAAATCAGCGCCAGATTCAACTCAAAGTGAGAACACGAATGTGATTCCAGCTTCCCGTAACACCTCCGCCACCCCTTCGTCAACAAGAGCGGACATCTTTTATTGGATAATGAGCTTAACAGATACCTGGGGACAAAGTCGAGTGCCGCAGAACATTTGTCTCAAGATCACAGCACAAAATACTCAACGTCACCCCCACGACGCTTGTTTTAGTTTGAAGTCGAATGGACGCAGCCGATCGGGATCAGTATCTTAAGGACAAAGATTATTTTTGGAGTCTGGGATTCAAATCCGTTAATCTTCCCCTCCCATTGAGCAGATTAGCCAAGGCTACGATGGCATGAGTACCACGCAGGATGCAGTGAGGCCCAGGGCCAAAGAGGACTGGAAAAAATGGAATTCATGGACATCAGACATCATGTTGAACAGAGGCAGTAAAAGTTGAAACTCAGTGAAGTACCGAGATTTGTTTTGATAGATTGCACAGCAGAGCAGCAAAATGAAAAGTTGAACTGAAAATGTTCTCGTTGAAAGACCCCCCCGCCGGCCCCCAAAATAAAAAGCAAACAGAAGTCGACCTACTGCTGTGTGATCCTGCTAATGATCTGTAAGCTGACTGATCGTCTGCAGGCTCTCTCTCGTACCTGACCTTTCACCCCATCCAACGTACCAAGACCAAACGCACTGCAGTGCCACAAAAAGAAAATCAATCAATCAACGGAATCACGGAGAGCTTCAAAATAATCAATGAATCGTGTTTTATTGTGTTTCCATGAACAACATTTCTAAATATACAGCAAAGTAAAATAGAGTACGATCTTCAAATCGTTTCAACCTGTGACTGACTCTTGTGAAGCCTCATAACCAAGTGCCGGATCTCCTCGCGTTTCTGTCGCACCTGTTGTCGTGGAAACCAGCGGGCCAAAAGTAGAGGGGGGTCAAAGTGGACCACGGGGTTCTGGGAAGAAGAAGACGGCAATTGATCAATGTGTGACACAAGCTTGTGTTCATGTTTCTGACAAAAAAAAAAAAAGAAAAACCGCGGCTGCAGTTTAAAGTTTGGCCAACAGGACATAAATGCAACTTGACTTTTACTCCTTACTTTTGAAAACAAATATCCCTAATTCCAAGTCGCTGACATGTTAAGATGCTTTCTCTTTTTTCAACTTTCACTTGACTGATTGTTTGCGACGTGAGGCGGAAAAAACAGGAACAAAAGCAACATGGAGGATCAGGAAGCATTGAAGGAAACGACAACTGATGTGGAGAAGAAATATTGATGATGTATGGCTTTGTTAAAGAGAACTGACCATCAATGTGTTGTGTCTTGAACCCAGCCAAAACACAAAACACAACAAAAATCTGAGTTTCGCGCATTTGAGAGTCTGTCTAATCTAAGGGAGAAAAAAAAAAAAACAACTAAAAGGTGTATTTTTTCAGTTATCAATAATTAATGTGCTTAACTTTTGTTCTTCCTCTCCCTACATTAGTATGTTATTTCATTAGCAGACAAGGGTGAGCCAATGCTAGCTAGCGCTGAAACATGCGTTGTTTTTATTTTTTCTTCTTCTCAGTACGAGAACGGTTAAGATAAGAGAAACTATTGTTTTTCTTCCCATTGGGCCAAATTATCAAAAACGAGTATGGTATGTTATTGACAGACAACATTTATTTGGACTATTTGCTTCTGTCTTTTACTTCATTCGGTAAGTTGGATCAGTACTAATTTTACCAGTCTATACTTCTACCAAAGTACCGAGTTTGAGTACTTTTCCCACGTCTGCGGTACACCGTATTATTGCACATTTCAATGGAGATTGGGAGAAAAGAAAAAAAATACATAAATAACATCAAGGTCACAAAGTGGAGTTAGGTCATATGGTGTCATCACCTGGAAGAAGCTCTCGACGTACTGCAGTAGGTACAACCCACAGTCACTGCTGTTGTCCTGCTGCGGGACGCTGCAGCTGTAGCTGTGCATGCTGTCTGAGGAGAAGAGGCGATGTCGTCCCTTCCGTTCTTCCCACTCCACCTGCAGGTAGCTGCGCACGCCATTGTTAGGGCCCAGGTGACTCTTGCAAAGTTATCGCTGCTTAAGCCTGCTAAGTGGCTTGCGGGAACGTGTCCACAGGAACATGTTCAAAGCACTTCACTTTTTCGAAAATGAGATTTTTTTTTTTTTTTTAATATCAAAAATTTTTTTTTTTTTTAGCGGTGGGTCGAATTATTTGCAGGTTTATTCATAAAATAAATAATCACCTTTTTTTAATAAGTGGACTTGGAATTCTGAGAGCAAGGCGATGAGATAACAAAATGTGGAAAGAGTGAAGCACTCTGAACACTTTTCGATACTTTCCAGGTGCACACTCTTGGAGGTGAATGTCAACGCTCACTCTCGTAGAAGCTTGCAAGCATGTTCATGCTGCTGCACTTTCAGAGAGTCCATGACGAGGATGCACGGCCTGCGGGCGAACGTGAAATAGAGTCAAAAACAAATGATGTCACATGGAGCTATTCACCAGTTGAGCAAAATACTCACTTCGTCAACGTGACCTCCCTCATGCAGCCTTGCTCCGTACATGCCTGAGAGAGAGGAAAAAAAAAACCCCACCCCATTTCAGTCTTTAGTCATACGATAACTGAAACACCAAAATGCAGGGATGGAATGATTCATTTTTACAAATATCAGTAGACTTCTTTACGATTAAACATGTTAAAAATGTACATTTATTTGATCATTGTCAGACTGAATAATTGACTTGCAGTTGAAACTAATTATTTCATAAAGAGCCCCAAAGGTGACATGGAAGAAGAAAAAAAAGCAACTGTGTTCCCTCGCAAACAAAGTTTATCTATCCATCCATTTTCTGATCTGCTCACAAGGGTTGCGGGGCGTGCTGGAGCCTATCCTAACCGTCTTCGGGCAGTAGGCTGGGGACACCCTGAACCGGTTGCCAGCCCATCGCAGGGCACACACAGACGAACAACCATCCGCGCTCACACCATGGGCCAATTTCGAGTGTTCAATCAGCCTGCCATGCATGTTTTTGGAATGTGGGAGGAAACCGGAGTACCCGGAGAAAACCCACGCAGGCACGGGGAGAACATGCAGAGTCCATACAGGAAGGCCGGTTCCGGGATCGAACCCACGACCTATGCACTGTGAGGTCGACGCGCTAACCACTCGACACATCTTTGCGAGGGAACGCAAATCATTGCGAGGGAACACGAATCCTTCCACCTTGGCTCATACGTCTGCAATATTTACCGGCGGCTGTTCTGATCTCATACAGAGGAGCTTGGATCCACCTAAAACAAGAGAACACGTCAAAATTGCAACTGGATGTTGGAGCATCTTGCAAGCAGCCGCTGAAGGCTCAACCAGTCGATTGAAATATATGAGCTTACTTGTACGCTGCTCATAATGGTTACCATCCTGACCCGGGAAACAAATGACAGCCAGGTACCAGTGAGCTCTACGGGAAACACCGGGTCAGGCGTAAGCAAAAAAAAAAAAAAAAAGAGGGGTAGGAAAAAAACATTTCAGGGACTACTTGCTAACTTGACTTACTCCTCATTGATCGGCACAAAGAGAAAATCTTTAGTGAATATGTCAACATGGCGAGTCCACGTCTTCACCCTCTGGTGCCGCACGTACTGATCTCTGAGAACAAAAACAAACAAAAAAAAAAACCCACTGCACTTTACACACATTGTCATTTCCTTATCCAACATGACATGAGCTTTTCCTTTTCCTTACGGGACAAGAGCGGCGCCCTCGGTGTAGCTTTGCCGTCTGCTTAGGTGTTTGAAAAAGAAGCTGCTGAAGATGTGACTGCGCTCAGCCACGGCGCGGCCCCCGCCTTCCACGAGGAGGAATCTGGGTGAAGACGCCAGTGAGGGAAGGTGAGCAATGCTTCTTTCGAATGGTTGACATTTCCTGTCGACTCACTTGAGGTAAAAGTCGATGATGACATCGTTAAGGAACTGCCCACTTGCCAGACAAGCCAAGTCCTCCTTTGTCACTGTGATCCGGCCTTTGGAGGGCGCCGCCGGGTACTGAATCAACCTGTCCGCCAAATAATGTCACGCGGTCATAAAACGCTTCAAAGATTGGCTGTAAGGTAGAGGTGTCAAACTTATAGCCCGCAGCTCTATCTGTCCCGGCGGATGAATTTGAAAGTGGAAAAAAAATCCCGGAGTAACCTTTGTTACGATACAAACGTCTGTAAGGCCGTGAATGTGATTATGCGGAGTCAAGACCTGCGCTTTGACGAGAAAGCCAAGTAAACTGGAAGAAAACAAAACGAAAAACAGACAAAGAATTTATTCTCGTAATTTTAGCGCAGTTACAGCTGATAATTTATAGAAGTGCGAGGCAATAATTATCGGTTCCAAATATTGACTTTCAAGTTGTGCAAACTTCAATTGCTGTGGCCAGATTTAACATGCATGTGCGTGTACATTTTTTTTTTGCATGTCTTTCTGGAGAAATCTGAGGGTCTTATTCACGGTTTGTGGAATAACACGACATTACTGCGATTGGCTGGCAAGCAAGTTGGGGGTGTACTCCGCCTACTGCCCGAGGACAGCTGGGATAGGCTCCGGCATGCCGGCGACCCTTGTGAGGATAAGCGGATTAGAAAACGGATGGATGGATATGACATCAAAGTTTTTCCGAATGTTCTTGCATTGCTTTGCAATGCAAAAGAAAAAGCAAAAACTAGAACTTACTGTTATTCATATTCGTCTTGCAACCACTTTACTGGTCCAACCCAAATGAACACTCCCCCCGTGACCCCTGCAATAGGTTTGACACCTCCATCTACAGCAGACGCCGGTCAATATAAGTATGAGGTCGTCTTTGACCTGCTCGCCAGCTGCAGAGCAGATGCCTGATTCCTGCAGCTTCTTCTCAGCGGATTGGCTATCTCCTGGGAGACAAACGCAATCGCACGTGAGAGGTGGACCGCCCCCCTACGCAACGACCGCGGGCGCGGGGACACGAGACAAAAAAGGTTCGTCTTACCGGTGACTGACCCAGCAGACGAAGGAGGTGCTCATCCAGTGGGGCGGGACAGCTGTGGATGAGTAGCAGCCCATCGGTCCAGCTCAGGGGGGAGCTCAGCCCCCCCGCTGAGGAAGAGCGGCCATCCTTGAATTCCGTCATCTCAAACATGGATGCCAGCAGTGCGGCCTGGGCTTCGGGAAGCTGCTCTGTCATCACCAATAGAAGGATGGAGCACGGCGGCCCTGCGTTCCAGAGAACAACCGGTCAATTATTATGACTTCATATGGGCCACGGAACGACGTTTTTGAGGCTGAGAAAAAAAAACATTCTCTCTTGACGTGCGAGACAGCAGACGGATTTTCTCCTTGATCTGGTTGGCAGTTGGCAACCACGGCTGAGTACACTTTGCTATTCTACACATGACCTTGGAATGTGAATCCCTTCACTGGCTCCCTATATGTTTTGGAATTCTTTTTAAGATTCTATTATTTGTTTTCAAATGGCCCCACCTTACCTCTATGAGCTCCTCTGCCCCAACGCGCCTGCCCGGTGCCTCGGGTCTGCGGACCTGACACTATCAGAGGTACCAAGAACTAAGCGGATGAAGCCTTTTCCATTGCCGGTCTCTCTCTTTGGAATGACCTCCCACTGAACGTTCGGCAGGTCCCCTCGCTACCCATCTTGAAAACTTGTGTTCAACTCATTTTTATTCTTTGGCTTTTGACTCAGCATGAGACCTGAGTTTTAGTTTGACTATTTTTGTGCTTTCTACTGTCTTTGTTATTCATTTATTGATTGTTGTTGTATGAATGATTTTTGCTCCGTGTCCAGCACTTTGTATGCAGCGGTGGTTGTTTTCAAGTGCGCTAGAAATGCACGTGAGTCGATAATGTAAGACAGATTTGAATGACTGCAGACCTCCACCAAATCTGAACAATTGGGACCACAATAATATTTGGATGAGCAGTAGATATAAAACGTCTTTCGCACCACTGTTCAAAAATGCCAGCTTTTTTGTGATTAAAGACACACAAAGATGAATAAATTCAAAACGTATTCCCCAATTAATGTGACCTATCAACATGGAGGGCAGTGTGGGTCACAACGGTACTCCTCGCGATTTTACCTGAGGCACTGCTTTTCTGCATAAAGATCATCTCCCTGTGCAGTACGTTGGCCTGAGCGTCCGTCACCCAGAGGAAAAGCAGCGATGGAGCGGGCCCCACCGGATCAGCGAGCAGAGTCCCATCCAAAGCTACGCCGCCGTCCCATAAGCCGTAGCCTCGCACTTGTGATGCAACCACAGTGACCTCGCCTTTATCTTCTCCTGTCGGACGGAGAAACACCGACACATCAGACATTCCAACACATAGTTACACGATTGTGAGGAAATGTTTGGTACCTTTAAGCGGCAGAACGATTCCACTTGATGTAATCTGGACACAAAGACACCAATGTCTCGTTAGAACCTTACGCTTTCTCAACAGGACATACTTGTCTAATATCAGAGATAGACAAGCAACTAGTGGCGGCTGGTCAATAAGAGGGCGCCAGAAATAAAATGAAAAATTGGAACTTCCGGTCAAGTCAAGCATGTTCACTCGCTGGAGTTCCGAGTTATTGATTTCAAGTCTTATCGTACCTCACCATCGTTGAAAGTAAGTGTGCTGACATTGGTTGCGAGCTTCCTCTCATGCTAACTGAGTGTGGTTGTGCTTCCGCAGGAATATAAACAAGACGTCACTTGACGCTGCTGTTTAAATCATTTAAAAAAAAATTGTATATATATCTGAAATGTTGAAAAATAGCAATTTTCTGCGATGGTTCGTGTGAACCTCCCAGAGAAAACTTCCACTAGCCACCACTCAACACAACAGGAAATGGGCACACACTTAAGTGGCTTTACATCTCACCATCATCTTCCCGCTGGCGCGAGAGTGAATCATGCCGACGTGAAGAGACAAAAACTCCAACTCCAGGTAGGACGGCAGCTTCGGGTCTCCTCCTGGTGTCTGATGAGGTATTTGATTCCAAAGAGGAGTTTGGTCAATCCGTTTTCTCTCATCACCTTCGTCGGGCTCGTCGTCCTCACTGGACAAAACAACTGGCAGAACGGAAGCATTGAGACACAAGATGGTTGCAGCAAGGAAGGTGCTGGTAGAGTTTGCGCGCAACTCACTGGGTTCCGATCGAGTCTGTTTCCTGCTGCGAGAAAGAAGACCAGACACTCTGCTCGTTTTCTTCTTCTGTCTGAAGGCCATCCAAATATTTCTCTCTTTCTCCCCTGGCTCCTCATTTGATTTACTCCTATTGAACTTCCTGTTGAAAATTCGATGGGCATCAGGCGTTGTCTCCAGTGAAGAAGACGCTTCATTTGTAGCCGAAGTGGACTGAGAAGAGGATGAAAGACAAGCAGATCATTTAGGAAGCATCTTAGAATACAATACATGTTTATTTGTTCAACAACTTGACTGACTATACTGCAGCAACTGATCACATGAGACTTGATCGTCACCTCCTGCATAATATCAGCTGTCAAGACTGTTCTGTGTCCTGGCAAGGAGGAACTCAACCTCCCATCATGCAGGCGTCCTCTCAGCTCAGTCAGGGAGTCATATGCTTTCACGGAAACACGTTTACCTGGTGAACAGAAACCTGTAGGCAAACATTTGCATTGAGACGCGCAAACTTAAAATTGGATTATCGCAAAACCAGAAAAGTATACTTTTGCTTTTATAATCACTCTTCTGTGGAGGAAGACCGGCCGGGTCCAAGACTGGCCGTTGATAATTGTCTGAGGCGCGCTTTGGGCGCCATCTGTTGGACAAATTGGACAATGAATTATTATTGTGGTACGGCGGTACCTCGAGTAACACACTTAATTGGTACCGTGACCTCGTTAATATACATAAATAAATAGATGAATTTGTGAATAGCGAACGCGTGCAAGATCAACTCTTATTACTGCGAGCAAACTCACCTGTCTGACAAATTAACTGAAGAACTCCGAGGACGAGGAGCTTTCGTTGACGGCCGTGATTGGCTGCTACTGTCCCCTGCTGCCGTGTGAGTGGTCGTTGATATTTCTGTGGGCGGACTTTCCAGTCCCATCAGCTTTTTGACAACTTCTTTAAAATACAGCTTACCATGCGCGCTGTCACAGACACGTAAGAAACCCGCTCATCAAGTGACCCTCGCCCGATTATGAGTTACTGTGTTGTGATACCTACAGAAAGCGTTCTCCTGACCTCTGACGATGGAGGCTGCCATGACTCCACCCACGCCCTGATTTCTGATCGAACACAAAATTAAAAACAGAAACGCAACGCCTCTGATACCAACTCTCTGGCGACGATGCCTTCAAGGGCATTAATAAAAGATCACCTGCAAGTGAAGCGAGGGGCTTTGCGGTGAGTGTAACCGTTGGTGGGTGGAGTCAGATGCTGCGATCGACGTCTTCTTGGGGATTCTAAAGAAACGTCATTGTGTGACAAAAATTAACAACACAAAATATATATACACATATATACACACACACACACACGCTCTTTCTCTTTGTCACTATTTTATGTTGTACAGTTTCGTGTCCGAACTTTGCTACGCGTGGGCTTAACGTTAGACAAAATAATGCAACACCAAAACGTCCCTGCAAAACATAGAACTACCCGGCGGGTTTGGTTAGTCAGTGGGTGCCTACCACACAAATAATAAGTATACCAAGTTAAAAATGTATCAGCAGTCTTCGTTAGAATCCGCCAAAATGTTGACTGCAGGCGCAGCCGAATGTCTGCACGTATTTCCCCAAAAATAAAAATGTGCTCGTCCATAAACGTGTTGCAGAGAGGAACTTGACGGCTTTCGCGGTGAACTTTTATACGAGCTACTGGTAACCGCAAACTCGCTCGCTAGCTGTAGCTACCAAAGCTGCTTAGCCGGCCGGTTAGCCGCTTGCTTAGTTACTCGATACAGCCGAGCGAGCTGTTCAGTTTCGACGTTCTCAAAACAGTAAAGCCGAACGACATACTAACACTTTTGTCATTGCGGCTCGTGAAACGTTACAACTTATTTCCAAAACACGCTAGGAAGCATTTTTTCGTCGTCCACAAATTGAGCTGCACATTACGCAAATACGTAATTACGTAATCTACGTTGCTTCATTACGCCACAGACGTTGAAATGTGCTGATTGGTACCAGCAACCACCACTTATACAAAAAAGACAAGAAAACGGAATTAACAACCATCGTATAATTTGATTAGTCCAGTTTAACTAATGTTGACACACTTTTTATGATACATTTCATTTGTCATATATTTTGCCGTCTTTGGTTCAACACTGTTATAGGAACCATTACGGAGGCACCTTAATAGTATATGATATTCCATTATCATAGAAAACACTGAAAAAATATAAACGGTCGACGAGTTTCTAAGATTTCATCCAGGGCTGCACTGACTTTACTGGATACTGAGCCATGGAGAAATCAAAAGAACTGTCAAAAAATCTGCCAGAAAAGGTAGTTAAACTTCATAAATCAGGAAAAAGATATCAAAAGCTATGTAAAGATTTGAAGAAAGGCAATTGGTGGATTTGTAAATGGTAAATGGTGGTATTTGAACTCTGACAAAGAAGTGGACATTTAGTGGTTCTGTTGATACCAAGCCACCGTCAGGTAAACCAACCAAGATTTCAGCCACAAGTTCAGCCAGGAAGATCTTTTGGAATGCAATGAAACCCCCGCAAGCAACTTCAGCTGAAATATAGGCTTATTGACAAATCTGACTCCGGCCTTGTTGTGTCGCGTTTGTATCCCGGTGCTCCTGTGAGTTTTCTCTCTGGGGATTGCGCCTTCCTCCAACACTCCAAAAGGATGCACATTCGATTCAGTGAAGACTAAATTCTTCATAGGTGTGAATGTGTGTAAATTCTATCCTCTCCCCTTAACCTTCTTTCCAGTGTCTTGAAGGTGCTGAATGTAAAACTTGCAACCACCAAACGTGCATGTTTTCCGTCCCTGAGCATAACATGAGCAGAAAGCTGGTTAGTGGTTCATAAACTAATCAAGTTTCCTAGAAGTGAAAGTGATTGCTCTGTCACATACACATTCGACAGTTATGATCACCTTTCACACACACAGGTTTAAAAATGTGTTGTTGTCTTCTCATTTCTATGAGTTCTAGTTCATGTCCAACCAAAGGGTATAACATTCCGTAGTTTTCCATTTTTTTTTTTCAATCACTGACTTGCACATGAAACGATGTTTATCAAGTTGGAGTTACTTATTGTGAGGAGCCGAATGAACTTTGACCGGATATCCTACCAATTGATTGAACATTTAGCACTGTCTGGTTGCAGGGCATCTACTGCAGGGCCGCTGTCTGCTGTGTACTCAACATTTGTGATGACCTACTGTTAATGATTCAGCTGTGTGTGTGTGTTTCTACGTGTTTCAGGAGCGGACAGATGTATACAGCCAGTTCTTGACAGCGGTCAGCGTGAAGACATCATGGCATCTGAGCTGGTTGAATGCGTCCCCAACTTCTCTGAGGGCAAAAATCAAGAGGTCAGTTCTTTGGAGTTGTTGTGTCCCACTGCTTGTTTCTTTCCACGAAGGGATCGCCAATTTCATCCTGTGATACCCTGTGATCTTTAAATCTGTAAACATGCTTATGTCATATGTGTTAGGCCCGCCGCACACCGAGGCACACGGCAATCGAAAAAAAAAAAAAAGTCGGCGAAACCTGTACCAGCACCATTGCACAGATAACCAATTCATTGCAATGGAAAATGTGTACTGTTTTATTTGTGAAACGTTTTGAGTTGCCACATGTACGAGCGCATTTTTTTATTTCTTGAAGCACAAACAACAGCGATTTTCAAGGATAAAGTGGGTCTCCCTGTGGTAGAGCTACAACAAAAAAGAAAGGTTAAAAGAAAGGGTTAGAAACAAAGGAGAGTGTGTGGACCGCACTCGTGTCATTCAATACCAGAGACTCTCCCTGCTTCACTTTTTAGATACTGGTACATATAAAATGATAAATATTTAAAGTATTATGGGGATGAAAAAAAAACATTAAAAATATATGCTGTATTGGAACAGCTTGGTAGCAGGCAACTGGATCCTACATTACATCCACATTATTTATTTATTTATTTTTGATGAAAGCTCATGTGACACAATGTAACAATTTTTGATTGGCTGTTACATCGGTGACATTGCGACACTATGATGCGAGTTTTGAGCGCGAATGGTTGATCGTTTATGTGTGCCCTGGCAACCAGTTCAGGGTGCTCCCCCCGCCGTCATACTGCCTGAAGACAGCTGGGATGGGCTCCAGCACGACCGCGAGCCTCATGAGGACAAAGCGGTTCAGATAATGGATGGATGGACAATTGGCTCTCTCTCTCAAAAAAAAAAAAGGGAATTCATCAGAACATTACGACTTACTTTCTGGAAAATAGACTACTCTTTAAATCCCATGGCATTCAGGGGTGCACTGGAAAGTTATGTTTGACTGATGTTAGTATGATGAGGGCGTCCTTAAAAGCAGTTCTCCCCTGGAAGGGGTCCATGGATCCCAACAAGTTTGAAAACCTCAGATTTGACCCATATAGAAAATGGATGGATTTTGTCACCGTTGTCAACTTTCAGGTCATTGATGCCATCTCAGCGGCCATTAGCAGCACACCTGGATGTACCCTGCTGGATGTCGACCCCGGAGCCTCCACCAACCGGACCGTCTACACGTTTGTGGGCTCTCCTGAAGCTGTGGTGGAAGGAGCGCTGAATGCCGCCCGTCAGGCATTCAACCTCATTGACATGAGTAGCCACTCAGGTCAGTCCTAATGGCACCTTTAAACACGCAGTGGAGGGGGGAAGAGATAACATCACATCAAAACCAGTCTGCTGTATAAAATTGAATTTTAAGAAGTGATTTTGAGGTCCCCAATTGGACAACTCCTCAAGCAGGTTCTTCCGAAGTCTTGACGCCTGAACGGCGTTCAGAAATGTGCTCCGAGTGTTTGATGTTTAATTCGAAAACTCAGTACTTTGTTCAAATGGGCCGTTGAGTTATTCAAAGTGCCTCAAATAGGAGTGCCGGGGCCTAGTCTGCTGGGCAGTCCAGAAGGAAATAGTTCAAGCACGAGCTGCTGATTGGTTTCTAACATACAGCATTTTTCTTTTTAGTTTAAAATGGCTTACTTTTGCGCGATTCCTGCCTCGCATGGTGGCCAAAGATAGAATCGTGGTCATTGTCAATCATGGCTACATTTTGAACTAACTGGACAGGGGAGACTGATTTTTGATTGAAATTGGAGAGCAATTAGTTACAGTCATCTAATTGTTGGAAAGTGATCGCTTGGATTCCATACGTGCAGGTGAGCACCCTCGTATGGGAGCGCTGGACGTCTGTCCTTTCATTCCTGTCCAAAACGTCAGTATGGAGGACTGTGTCCGCTGCGCCAACATCTTCGGACAGAAACTGGCGGATATGCTGCATGTGCCAGGTGGGGATACCACGTTGTTTTGAAAACAAAAAGTCAACGTATATTCTGAAACTTGTAAAAAATCGAACGAGTTTTGTTTCCTCAGTGTTTCTATACGGCGAAGCAGCAAGAAGCGAGGCACGGAGGAGTCTTCCGTCTGTGAGAGCCGGCGAGTATGAAGCTTTAGCAGACAAGGTCAGACCTTGAAAGCAATCAGACGCCTGCCATGCACAACATTGTGGCTCGTGTTGAATTGTGATTTACAACCACTTTCATCAGAGATCATCGGGTGTACACGGGAAATATTCATTAGTGCGGATGTTTCTTTGTCCATGCGTGATGTCCTGTCAGCTTGGGACAGCATGTTAGTTCGGCTGGTATGCTTGTCAACATTATTAATGAGCTTCATGTGAAGGTGGATAATTTGTGTTGAATAGCTGAACTACTCAATATATGTACCATGGGTTCATTTGGTTCATGCTAGATGCATGGTGTTGATGCTTTATGGTCCTTTCCATTTTAAGGGCTCTGCGACCATCTTGTGGCATCTGTCCACAGTGACAAACCCCTTTCAGTGCCCGGTGTCAATTATTTGCGGATTCCTGCAATTTACATTTCCTTCCCTCCGCGGCGTTTCACTTAAAAACCTTTTTTTCATGTTTTTGCTGTCCAGCTGAAACAGAAGGAGTGGGCTCCCGATTTTGGCCCCGCCACCTTTGTGGCATCATGGGGCGCCACGGTTACGGGCGCTCGTAAGTTCCTCATTGCCTACAATGTAAACGTGATCAGCACCAAGGAGCAGGCGCATCGCATCGCACTGGATATAAGGGAGCAGGGCCGAGGAAAAGACCAGGTGCACGTTGGGAATATGTAACTTGATCGTACTGCCTTCGTGACAATGAGCATGTCAAACGTAATTTTCCATGAGCTTTCAGTGACTCGATGTGTGTGTTTGGCTACATCCCAGCCAGGGTTACTGAAAAAGGTTCAAGCCATCGGCTGGTACTTGGATGAGGCCAATCTCGCTCAGGTGTCCACCAACATCCTGGATTTTGAGCTAACGCCCCTCCACCGTGTCTATGAGGAGATCTGCAAGGACGCGGAGGTCAGAAGTTACGCATACCACCAATGACTCACGTACAAGACCGTGCTGCCCCTGCAGACTACGTACACGCCCACTTTCTCAAGCTGCCAGCGGGACGCCCAACACGCGTACCCGGGAGAGGGGCGCTATGAGCGGCCACCTTGACCGAGGCACCGGCCTCATTGCTTTGACATTTTTAGAAGTCCACATCCCCGCACGTGTCCGGTGAAGGCGCGTTCAAAGCTGTTTTGGGGGAGGTGCGAGCAGTACCCACGGATTACATATGAATTCATATACGACCTTGACCGCATTAGGACAATGTCATGAAAGGGGCACAGCAGCCCCTCCCCTTCCCTCCAAGAAGAAGCTCTCTGCTTCAAAAAGGTTAGCGATCCTTGGAAATCAAAATAAACAGAAGGAAACCAAAACAACACTACAGTTAGCATGACGTGACACACGCTAGGTGGCCGCTGACCGCAGCGTACGGAAAAAAAAACAAAAACAATGAACAGACAGGCTGACAGGAAGTAAGTAACTAAATACAAGATAAGTTAGGTCCACCTGGACATGACACGAGTGATTGAGGGAGCTGATTGGCAGACACCAGGGACTGGACTGACAAGAACAGGTAGAAATTAAAAGTTAAGGTGAGACAGGACCGTGGAACACAAGACACAAACAACATGGAAAAAAACCCCGAAAGACTGTAAAAGCTAAACTAAATCAACAAAAACACAGTTCACGACAAGTTCAAATAAGTCATGAAAAGCTCTAAATGAACATGACATTCATGCACACGATGCAATTCTGCATCCAATAGCTCGAGTAGAGAGATAGGAAGACTCTGCCCGTTGTGAACTTTACCGTGTAAAAAGAGGAACGTGAGCCGGAGTGCCCTTCGACTGACACTGCTCACACACCCCCCCCAGGATCTGAAGCTGCCCATCGTCGGCTCTCAGATTGTCGGTTTGATTCCTCTCAAAGCTCTTTTGGATGCTGCGGACTTCTACATTGCTCAGGAAGAGCTCTTCATTGTGGAAGAGGAGCATAAAGTGCGCTTGGTGAGGAAAGCTTCACCTCGAGAGTTCTGTCACAGGGCTCCTTCGGGTTCTAACCTCTTAAAGCTTCCCTTTGTGATCAGGTGATCAGCAAGCTGGGTCTCGACTCTCTGGGTCCGTTCAAAGCAGAGGAGCGAATAATTGAGTGAGTTTCAACTCCTCTCAATGTCTAGTGTGTGAAACTATGGAACTCTTGTTTTGACTCAACTGCTTTACTTTGGTCAAGGCTAAAAAAAAACAGCCTCTGTTGTTGCAACTTTCGGCCCATTGCAGGTCGACAGAGGGAGATCAATGAAAAAAAAAATCCCTGCACACAAAATACTTTGAAGGCTCAGGCTTTCATGCTATCAAAACAAAAGGTTCCCATAGCTTTGCTTACGAAGCCTCAGGCGGTTGAATTATATTCGACCAGGTCGTCGCAACAACAAGGCACTCTAAAACAGCCATGCCAGTGCAATGCTTTTGCCCACATGGTGGCTGTCATGTTCCGCCTTCTCTATGACACGTGTGGGCTCTAAAGCAGCCACGCCAGGAGACTATGCGAAAGGAAGATGCATTTTCTGGGTGTGGGCATAGCTAGCTAGCTAACTGCCCATCGTAATTGCGCCGGACAACCACTGACGCAAAGGCACTGAAGTTCCTCATGTGGCCCTTTTCCACCCCACTTGTGCTAGTGCTAGTTCCGGGCCAGTGCCCAGGTTAGCAACAGTTCTTTCTTTTTTCACCACCGAAATTGGCTCTAGCTCGAGCTCCGGTGCTTAAAACTGGTGCTTGAGCTGGCTCCAGTTATTTGTTGGGACAGACTCTGTGCTCAGCTAGCATGCGTTCTCCGACTCGCAGCCAGCCTTGTGACCATCTACAATGATTAGTAAAGATAGAAGCGTTTTCTCATTGCATGTCCTTGACTGTTATATACTCCATACAAGTATTCTCGATGCTAGGCTAAGTTGCCCAGCAGGTGCTAATAGCGCATTATTATTATTATTAATAGCGCAGGCGCTCTTGGGAAAATGTCTGTGACATAATCTGTGACATTTGGACGCTTTACGATGATGTAATGACGTCCCTCCTACTTGGTTCTTTGCAGGTGGGAAACCAAACACGTTCTGTGTAAGAAATGGTTCAGCACAGCACTGGTGCCGAATGAGCACCAAGTTTGTTTTGGTGGAAAATGGGTAATGGTGGACTCTTAAGTGAGGTCATTAGGCACTGTTTTTGCCAAAACAAATCAGGAAAACTAAAATGGTGAAAAAAGAGCACTGAATAGCTACAGTTGAATACGACACAATTCTTGATCTTTGCGTAGTTTTTCAGCAATTATCATCAAACATGGATCATCTATTTAGAAACAAACCTCTGAATGTACTTTTCAGGATCTTTAAGTAGAGTAACAAAGTATTTTGTACATTGTTACAGGTACATGGTGAGGTCAGAGGACAACGGCCGCCTGGCATCTCTTTCCTTGCAGCAGTTTGTTCGCAGCGTTGGCGCTCGGACGGCCGCCCCTGGCGGAGGCTCCGTCTCTGCCGCCGTGGCTGCTCTGGTAACTTGGCAGAAGACAAAACATTGTGCCCCACGCTAAACCTTTTCATCGCGGCGGCAACTTTTGTTGGGCAGGGAGCAGCACTGGGTGCCATGGTGGGCCAGATGACATATGGCAAGAGGCAGTTTGAGGCTGTGGACGGCGTGATGAGGAGACTGATTCCTCCGTTTCATGACGCCATGAACGAGCTGCTGCGTATGGTGGACAGTGACTCGTCTGCCTTCAACGCCTACATGGTCTCACTTTCCGCGTCGGATGACTTGTCATCCTCTTTCTTATTTTTACAATCGAGTTAGCTTCCAGAACATCTCCGGTTTTGCGCTTCAAATCCGCTCTGTTTTGATTCTAGGCAGCGTTGAAGATGCCCAAAAATTCTAAGGAGGAAGTAAAAAGGTAACTTCAGAGACCGAGTTGGTCTTGCAGAGGCATGGAAACATTTCATTTGGATGATGTGTCGTGTCCTGACAGGCGTGAGGTGGCCTTGCAGGAGGGCCTAAAGCAAGCAGTGAGCGTGCCGTTGGCTCTGGCTGAGAGGGTGAGCACCCTCTGGCCATCGCTTAAGGAGCTTGTCTTGTACGGGAACGTCAGCTGCAAATCAGATGTTCAGGTGGGGAATTGTCAGCGGGGAAATCGGTCTCGTGTTATCATGAGATGTTTGAGCCGGAAGCACCCGGGTATGAGCGTTGTCCGTGTGGCTTCCAGGTTGCAGTCAAAGCGTTGGAGACAGCGGTTTTCGGGGCCTACTACAATGTCATCATCAACCTTCAAGACATCACTGATGACAGTTTCAAGATGGAGGTAGGTTTCCACGTGCCATTTGGATGAGTCTCCAACGACCGTTTCACCACCGTGTCATACATACTTTCAGGGGGCAAAAGACGGACCATTCTACGATGTTAGTTTTCAAATAAAAACTAATTAAATAAATACATGCTGTGGGGTTCCACAACATGTATTTATTTAATTAGTTTGAAAATGTCTTTGTTGTGAAATGCGGGAAAGACAATTCTCACATTACCAAAACCGAAAATATTTTGTTGAATTTCCCATCCTTAAATTTCATCGAAGTTTGTTGCCTTGAAATTTTGAGTTCACGCAACTTATTATTTTTTTAACAGTCTATTTACATTGTCGATTAAGTTGATCTCACGGTGACCTGATGTCCGTTCTGTTTTGCAGACTCAGTCCAGAGTGTCGGCATTATTACAGGAGGCGCAAAATTGCGCCTCCACCATTCTTGAAGATGCAGACAAGCAGACATGAGCTTGCTCGTCTGGGTCCTTTGAAAAATTGTGTTGAGCAAATTCAACGCAACATTGTGATGCCGGATGACGGCAGAAATGTTTGACCAGAAGTCATTAAAAAGTCTTTGCTTTGGGTCGGTTCGTCTTAAGAGCCATTACTTGACATGCGTCTGTTTGTCGGGGATGTTCAAGGCCACAAGAACGGCTAATGGCGCCGCATGTTCCATTAGAGGCAAAAGTATTTTACAAGAAATGGATGTATGACCTTGGAATGGAGGAGAAAATGTTCTAAATGGTCCACACACATGTTATAGTTCAGGTTCAGTGTTTGTTATTTGGTCACGAGAGTTTTTATGATGTTACGTTCGGGGTGAAAAGTTAGCTAGTTAGAGCCCAGTTTAGGTTTATATTGCCATCGCAAACTGTTGACACCATCGTCAACACAAGCACAATCTGAAATCATGTTCAATCATTATTTAAGAATGCTAAAAATCCCTGTAATTAATTACACCGACATTGTATGATCAGGCGCCTGCTGCCAGCGTTCGCGGGTAGTAGCTAGCAGCTTCCCGCTAGCTATTTTAATCTTAATCTTCATATAATGTTGCTGTTATGATGTACCAGGTTTTCCTCCGTTTTTATTTAATTAGTTAGTTTTGGGAGTACATGATGTAAGTGACGTGGTTACCATACAGTGGGAAGTATTGGAGTAGATATAAGATGAAAGGTTTGGCTGTATTCAGCACTTGGATGCTCACAGACTTATTTCCTTCTGAAGAAGGTAAGCCTGGAACCAAGAGGGGTTCACTGCATTGTACAAACCACTGATAATATTTAAAGACGACCTCGAGTGATTTCAGAGATTTGCGTCTCAAAACAATACATCGTTGAAGATTGCTGAAAACATGCTAAAACTGAACTATAAGTATGCAGTCCTCAGTCGTTAAAACTGCTATTCACCATTTCAGTTTTCCTGATTTTTTTTTTTTTTTTTTCCATTGGGTTATTTGCCTTTTGGAATAAATCCTGCCCCACTATTCACCTCTTGCAATCAAAATTATAGAAATTCGATCGGGGATATAACGTAAGCGGGAAATATAACTTAACTCATTCAGTGCCAGCCACTTTTAGACATTTCTTTACCCTACCATGACAAAAAAATGTAAAAATAAAAATACCGGTACTGAAAGGCCGACCTGGTATTGAAAGGGGAAAAAAAAAAACACCAAAACGTAAAAACATCTTTGGCAGCGAATAAGTTAAAAAAAGGAACAATCTGTACAAACAATGAACGAGTCAGCATTTCACTCTGTTGGGTGGGGGTGTGGAACAGTTTAGCAGCACCGCCAGGATATAAAGGTTGAAATTATGATTGAAAGCCAATTTTCAAATCTCAGAAGCCAAGTAGTAAAGCCTACAGAGGCATGGAGAATCTTATTGAGCGATGCTGAGCCTGCAGACAAAAGGACGGTGGGGCAGCAGGTGTGCAGACGTGTAACCGTACACCTGGGTTTGCAGGTTCAAATCCCAGTGACGACATACCGACCTGGTGTTAATCTACGGAATCCAATGTTTGACATTTGCCGTGCAGCAGCAAACGAGCTTTTTTTTTTTTTTTTTTTTTTTTATAAACGTGTGTGGCTTCCGTGATGAAGTGACGCCTATTAAGTGATGCTTTTGTCACAGGGTCAATTATTTAGCAAATATTCGTCAGAGAAAAACTGGGGAAAATTATGAACGTCATTAGTGCGACGTGTGTGCGTGTGTGTACGCCTCTTGGCTGACAATATAAAAAGCGGGCTGATCCAAGAGGACACAAGAAACCAGCACTCATCAGAGAACAAGACAAAGACCGACAAGAGGTAAGACTTCTTTTCCTTCTTTCATTCATAACGCTGCTCAACAGCAAATTTTAATCAGAGATGGCTTTGTGTGTCCCTAAAAGTATTTTTGCCACAGATTTGAAAAACGCTTTCTTTTTTCCCCGAGCACATCATTTTTTCCTCATGGAGTTTGACCAATAAATGTGTGTGCAATATAGATTTTACCGTGCGTTAGAATTCATGGCGATGATGTTTCAAAATATTCCACCTTTTGTTGAACCTAACCCGCATTTCATAAATATGACCCAATATATTATTATATTATTATTATTATGACGACCCAATGTGCTAGAGAAAAAAAAAAGTTTACTTGCTGATTCAAAGGTTTTAGTACAAATTTGCTGGCCAGTGTTATGCTCGACTTTTTCTACAGATGACATGCTCAAAATAAACCGAAAAACACAACTTGGCACTAAGGAGAACATCCATCCCCCTTTTCTCTACCTCTTAATGGTTGCGGGTGAGCTGGAACCAATCCCAGCTCACTCTGGAGGAGAGGCACGGTACACCCTGGACTGGTCGCCAGTCAATCACAACACGCGTGGAGACCGGCAACCATTCATATTCACGTTGGTTGTAACTGAGTGCCTGCAGGGGGGAACATCAGTGACTTGTATCAGTGCCCGCTTACTTTAATATCGTCAAGCAAAGCACCAGAACGAACAAGAAATCCTGGACTGGTCCCCAGTCCATTCCAGGGTACATAAACGCAAACACATATTTGTGACGGACAACTTAAGGGTCAAATATACTTGACAGCTATTTGGATACTCCACACAGGAAGGCCTTGATTTGAATCCAGAAGCTCAGAACTGGGGTGCAGACGATGCATGGTGACAAAGCACTACTTTTGTCGACGTGGAACTTCACAATTGACTTCATTTTAGATCCTTGACACCAAGGTGCCACAACATCCCACCTCAGGTCGATTATATATACCAGACACTATTCGAGGTACCGAGAATTAAGCGGAGGCTTTGCCGCTCCCTCTCTTCGGAAATACCTCCCGCTGAACGTTGGGCAAGCCCCCCCTCGCTGTCCAACTTGTCTTGAAACTCATTTTAATTCTTTGGCTTTTGTCTCTGCATGAGACTTGATTTTTATTTTGACTGTTTTTTGTCCTTTTTGTTATTAATTTTTTGTTTTATTGTTCGTTGTTGTATGAATTATTTTGTATACTTTGTAAACAGCAGTGGTCGTTTTCCAAGTGCTCTACGACTACTAAGACTAATCAATTCAACTGTGTTTCTAATCTTTTGTTGCATTGGCCGGAGCACGGCGTGAGTTTTTTAGCAAATAACTGTTTTCTCGTGAAAAGAAAAAAAAATCTGAAAAGGTGAATTTGTGCACGAGCACGGTGTATAGAATACCAGTGGTGTCCTGAGATGTAAATAATCCGACGTAAAAATCTTTGTAGATTTTTGTTTTTTTGACAGACTTGAGACACGGGCATTGTATGGACTTCACAACAAATTGCACTTTGGCAGAAAGTGAACAATTCTTCCAGAAAGATGCTTCAAGGTGTTGTCACACCGATAAACATCGAACAAAGAGAATTTCCCATTTTATAACGACCACATACCCCAGGCTTTAGTCTGCTAGCTTAATGCTAATATTAAAACATCATGGTAAAACACCATAGAAGGGCTAACGAGTAACATGTAGCACCTATGTGGCAGAGTTAGAACCCGTTAATCAACAGATACATGGAGACAGAAGAAAAAAAAATTCCAAAGGCACATTTTCTTCATCTTCTGCAGAGAAAAACTAATAATAGTCCTCAAGAGTTGTGATGTTTCCTCTGTCTCTGAATGTATTGTCTGTATGATACTGCCCCCAAGCGGCCAAGGCACGCCGGAGCGGCACAATGTCGATCTGATCGAAGTAAAAAGTGTGACAAAAACCATTTACTTAGGTCATTGTTTGTTTTTTTGAACAACATTATAGCCTTATTTTGTTTTGACAGGAGTTGAAACTTCTACTACTTTTAACACAGTCCTTTTTAAGCATTTGCGTCTGTGTGTACGTGATAGGCAGCAGGATGTGTCCTACATGGCTGTTGGTGACCGCGGTGCTTGTGGGTGTGGCCGGAGGAGCTGCCAGTCAGTGTTGGGAACATGCGGCTTGTCAGGAACTGGATTCAAAAAGCATGATGGTAAAAACACGAATGTTGCTTGGCCGTAGATGATCTGCACCCGACCCGCCAGCAAACGCTACGGCGGCTTCATGAAGAGCTGGGACGAGACCGAGCAGAGACCGCTGGTCACGCTGCTCAAGAACGTCATCAACAAAGATGGACAGATGCACGAGTAGCGACAGGTTTTAACGCGAGCGCTCGGCCAAGAGTTGAGAGGCTGAGCGCCGAGTGTGTTTTGACTGTAAATATTGATGACATGGAAACATAAAAGTTCTTGCAAACAAAAGCTTTACGGCCTGCTCCTTTGAGTCTCACGCAACTGCTATTTCGCCTTCAAACATGACTGAGGGGGTCTCGCGCACAAACGCTTACTTGCCAATAAGATGAATCTTGGATCTGAGGTTGCGGGATGCTGACAGCTCGGGCAGCAGGTCACATTCAATTCGGCGGACATTTGGTTGATTGGTTGTCTCACCTTTGAATTCTAAAAAACCATTAAACGCGCGCACACACACACACAGACACACAATTGGAGTTTCAATAACTACCCCAGTCAATTTGCCAGTGAGGAGCACCCTGGCTTTAATATGAAGATGGGCACGCGACAAAAGTGGGATTCTCTCATTGCAATTCAAAAAGGACAGCAGTACTGAGTGACCACCTGTTTATGTTTCCGAGCTAGAAAGCCAACTCCTACCTAACAATCTAAACGTGGTGACCTGTGGGGAAATACGGTAAAAATGAAGGCTGGTAATGATGAGAATGTTATTGAGAGGTAGACGTTTGAAATTTGCCACGTGTACCAGTTTAAAATAAGGTAGGGCTACTCACTCTAACGACTTTGTGACTGAAAACCAGCACGCACATGCTTGGCCCGTGGCTCAGTCGCGAAGACGTGGGAGGGATTGGGTGGAGCAAACCGTTTTGAAGACCAAAAAAGGGGAGAATGGGCATCGATACTTTTGTTGATAAAACATTGTTTCTACCAAACACTGGATGATTTTCACACTTCTCTCGCTTGTTCACAATAAGATCAAAGAATAAAAGTGGAAGATCCCTCAAATTTTGTGGGTGCTTGCATGTACTCGAGGGCTGCTTCAGCTTCCCCCAAAATGGGTGAGACACACCCACGTTACGCGCCTGGATTTGTTTGGATCCGCGCACAGAGGCTACTGAAATGCTCTCACCAGCGAAATTTCAGTCCGGTACTCGAGAACCACTGTGATGGTTCACAAGGTGACATTTGATCAGCTGCTGTCTTCCACTTCCACCTTTGATTCGAGTCCGGCGGTGGTCTCCCCCAGAGTCCGCCACCAGGGCAGCCTGTTGGCCTGCAGCCTGGCAATGTGGGCGTCACGGGCCCGAGTGGCGATGGTACCGCAAGGGCTCAGGAAGGACTTGATATCAGTCGCCGTGACAGCAGAGAGGGGCGGGGCATCTGCGGAGGAAGAGGGAGAAAAATCAAGCGATGGACCAATGCAAGACTTTCCCATCCTTCCATTTTCTCGACCGCTTATCCTGTTCGAGGTCGTGGTGAGCCGGTGCCGATTCTGCCGAAAGGCAGACTACACCCTGGAGTGGTCGACAGTTACTCTCAGTACTGTCACAATACGGAGACAGACGGCCATTCACAATCGGTGTTTCGTTCATTCTTTCCATTTCAGTTCAATATTTGTTTCCATTTTGTAATTTGGGTCAGAGCCTAAAATGAAAACATGAAAAATCTCGACTTTTTTCCCCCCTTTTGTGCGTTAGGTGATAAAAACAACATAAAATAAAGAAACAATCAGTCAATTTTCTTGCTTGCCAATGGAAAATGCAAAGAAAGAACGACACGCGGATTATTCCTAAATCGGTGCCACAGAGTCGAAATCGAAACCACGCTGCCTGCATGGAAGTCAGGTGAGTGAACCGTGACGCCATCGGTGACTTGACAGTATTTTTTTTCCAACATTGAAAATAAAATGTTGAAGTTCGACAGACACCCAATACGAGCGTGTCCCGAGATCAGCGCATTCATTTCAAACAATCACCCAATGCGCCAAACAAGCGAAAAACAAACCTTTGAGTAGATCCAGCTGAGTGTGAGTGCGAGCCAACAGGGACTCCATTTTCTGCTCCTCCCTCGTTTGTCGCACTGCCTGTTGCAGCAGCACCCGCAGCCGCCACTGCACGTCGACGTGGAGTTGTTCACACGCCTGTCGACTCGCCCCGCTTGACTACACACATACACCAAGGCAGAGAGGTCTTCGCGCTCAGCAGCGGCACAGTACAGTGGAACCGTGTCACAGTAATTCAAGGTGAGAGTGCCTTACAGGATGCAGACTGATGTATTCGTCCACCCGTCTCTTCAAGGCTGCCCTTTTGCTCTCTGTCAAACCCTTCTGGCCAATCCAGCAAGGCGCGGAGGCCAAGACTTTAGCCGCCCGATGTTCTTGGAGAAAGCGACGGATCTGAAAGATGGGAACAGCCAGGCAGACTCGAGCTGGCATTGCTTCTTGATTCAAGTAGGATTTGATGATCGTCAAATGTCATCACACTGTACATATGATCTTATCCATTAGATGTTATAAAAATTCTAGGTGACAATGACAGCATCTTAGGCATTTTCATCTTATAACGGAGATTAAGAGGTAGGAACGAATAAGTTGATACTCTTCAGACTCGTTTTCGAACATGTATGTGTAAGCGTGTAATTCACGACTAATGATTGGGCTGACTACTGGGAAGCATTCTCCTGGGTTGATTTCACGGATGCTTGTTTGCACGTTTTTTTGTATTTGTTCCTGATATTAAGAGTATGTTCATTTGATTTGATGCATGTTTGAAATGAACGAGGGGAAAAAAAAAAAAAAGATGTCCGCATACAGCTCTCTGCAGCGTCCTGGCGGCCTCCTGCTGCACGTGCGCGAGTCTCGATGCAGGTCGCAGCGAGTCAATACGTCGTCTGGCTAGAAAGCCTCGCCAGGCGCTCTGGATCAACACGGCGGCACGGATCTCGCATTCGAGCAGGTACGGCTGCACCTGGTCTGGACGGGGAGGGAGTTACACGTTACACTATGTGTGTCTGCGTGCGTTGGAGAGAGAGTGTGTGTGTGTGTGTGTGTGTGTGTGTGTGTTTGCGAAAATGTACCAGGAGGCAGAAGCAGCAGCAGTTCTCTCTGTTTTTGATGGAACTTTGTCCTTGCCTGCTGACGCTGCAAACAGACCTGCACAAACACAAAATGCACATGCATGCGCACGAATAAACGCACACACACACACACACACACACACACACACACACACACAGTCATCTTGGGTGGAGGGCGGTGTAGGTGTATGCTAATCCTAAATGGTTAGGATTGCATGACTGTCAGTGTTTTATGTTATGTGTTGTGTTTATTATTTTACTTTATGTTAACTGTTTTGTTAAGTGCTTTGTTACAGCTGCTGTGAAAGCACAATATAAATCAGGATGTATTGTATTGAATTGAATTGTCGAAGCGACTGCTATGTTTTCACCTGATAATTCAACTCCTCTTGCCACCGCTGTGCATCCCTCTGCTGTTGCTGTTGTCTTCTGCGAGCCCTGACACATTGCGCACGCACGCACGCACGCAGGACTTTGTTGGACACATCTAATTCACAGCATTGCACATAAACACACGCACACACACACACACACACACACACACACACACTATTACCACTTCTAGGGCTGGGAGATGAATCAATGTAATTGATGAATTCGAGTTGATGGTATTTTCATTGATAGTTTTTAGTGGGGTTGTTTTTTTTTTTTTTTTTTTTTTTTTTTAGCTGCTTCCGCAGCTCAAAGTCCATCCCCTCTGACGTGCACTGCTTTATACTAACAACATGGCTGCAAAGAGAGAGGAGCTTGTTTTAAACCTGTCGCCAACCCCCCTTTATAATACCAGCCCTCGGTTTTGGATCTTTTTTTTTGGGGGGGGGGGGGTAAAAAGGAAAAAAAGTGTTATTCATGAGATTTTAAAGCATGTTTACTGGGGGAAAAAAGGTAAAATTTTGTCCAACTTTTTTTATCATCTCAAATGCGGTACATCTGTGGAAGCCGATGCAAGTTAATACTGAAGGGGGAAAAAAATGCATAAACACTTACAATTATTTATTTTTTATTTTTTTAACAAGCGAAGGTGGAAAGAAAAATCTGAATTCCGGATTTGGGGATGGGGGCGCGGGGAATCTGAGATTTTAAGGCCAGCTCATCCTGCGCTACCATGAATCAAGTGACACACCTGAAGCGACGCTGCAGCATGGAAACCACTCCGCCAAGACTCTTGACTCTACGTCTGGTCAGATACGATTTCCAAGCTGCCTGAATCACACTCGCCGCTCTCTCCCGGTCGCCAGAAGGCTAAGCAAGAGAGGAGGGCAGTCAGCACAAAGAGCCAGTTGGGGGACAGACGGGGTGACTCCTGCAACAGACTCACGGTGCTTTCCTGAGACTGGGTAAGTGCGATCAGCTGATCTACTTCCGGGTCAAAGCCTCGTCCTCGCCAGTCTTTGTCCAACAGGCTGTCCAAACCTGCAAAGACAAACAGTCACGCTTGAACCTTTTTCCATCTTATCTTCTCTCTTCCCACCGCGACCTGATCGAGCTTCACAGATCATACGGGCATGCACCAAGGCAAAAATAAGGGCAGCCCTCCTCACAAGCCAAAGAGACCGGCTGGTACCGAGCAACTCAGACGGGGTAGCGTGTCCGTCTCGCACAAATGGCAAGCATTGCCAACGCCTCCATTGTGACTTTTTATTTTATTTTATTTTTTTTTTTTGGGGGGGGGGGGGGTAAAAAGGAAAAAAAGTGTTATTCATGAGATTTTAAAGCATGTTTACTGGGGGAAAAAAGGTAAAATTTTGTCCAACTTTTTTTATCATCTCAAATGCGGTACATCTGTGGAAGCCGATGCAAGTTAATACTGAAGGGGGAAAAAAATGCATAAACACTTACAATTATTTATTTTTTATTTTTTTAACAAGCGAAGGTGGAAAGAAAAATCTGAATTCCGGATTTGGGGATGGGGGCGCGGGGAATCTGAGATTTTAAGGCCAGCTCATCCTGCGCTACCATGAATCAAGTGACACACCTGAAGCGACGCTGCAGCATGGAAACCACTCCGCCAAGACTCTTGACTCTACGTCTGGTCAGATACGATTTCCAAGCTGCCTGAATCACACTCGCCGCTCTCTCCCGGTCGCCAGAAGGCTAAGCAAGAGAGGAGGGCAGTCAGCACAAAGAGCCAGTTGGGGGACAGACGGGGTGACTCCTGCAACAGACTCACGGTGCTTTCCTGAGACTGGGTAAGTGCGATCAGCTGATCTACTTCCGGGTCAAAGCCTCGTCCTCGCCAGTCTTTGTCCAACAGGCTGTCCAAACCTGCAAAGACAAACAGTCACGCTTGAACCTTTTTCCATCTTATCTTCTCTCTTCCCACCGCGACCTGATCGAGCTTCACAGATCATACGGGCATGCACCAAGGCAAAAATAAGGGCAACTGACTTTATTGCCCCTGTCAACCTCTGCCAAAATCTGATCTCAACAGAAATGTGTCAAAATGGGGCAATACTTAGCTGGATCCGAAACAGAGCAAGACTTAACATTCAATCGTTCACCTTTTGTTTTGTTCTTCCTTGGTAATTTGATCTTCTTTCGAATATTTCTTTCAACATCGCACACTGTGCTGAGTCTGTTTGATGTGGGGCAGTATTTCATACGGAAACGGCAACTACGCTGGCTCATGGTTGCTGCAAAATAAACGTCTGCGATTTCATCGAACGCATTCGCCCGCATTAAAAACAGAAAGTTTTGATGTTTTTCCATTCCACGCAAACACTTGACAAGTGACAATATTTGAGGTCAATTTAATTCCAAAAAAAAAGCATACACAGACTTTACACTGATCCAATAAGTGTAAAGTCTATCAAAATCATTTGCATTTCATCACGAATGGTGTAGCGGTCCACCCGCCGGTTTTGTGTGCTGTACAGCAAATATTCAAGTTGTTGAAATAGAGATATTGCATCTTCTGAATGAATCGATGAACGAGTATTGTTTGTATGAATTTAAATCTCCATGAAATGACGACACTGAGGACAGAACATCTCAGTTGTCGAAACATTTGTCACTCCTCGGTTGATCTCCTCAAAATGCTCCCGGGTGGGAGGAGCTATGACGTAAACAGAGGCGCGAGGAATGAGGAGCCAACGGGTCGCAAATAAACAAATGACATTTCCTCAGACGTCGCCACCTCACCTTTGAAGTTGAAGAGGAAGGGCTGAAGCGGCAGTTGACTGGCCATGTGGAGGATGAGTCGGACAGATGCTCCGCCCACTGCCGCATCGGAGCTCACGGCTAACTGGCCAACAGCCTCGTTGAGCAGCAGCAGGACGGCGTCATGGCTTAAACTGGAGAGGAAGTCACTGTGCACACCAGGATAGAGGAAAGCGTTTTAGCTGGGAACTTTTGGCAATTAAAGGTTACATCCTTGCTATATTGCCAGTATTGAAGTGATTGCTTTTTAATTTACATTGCAAATATCGAAGATCTATAAACAGAGATCAGAAAACCTTTCTTCATAGATGCGTCCAACACGCATGTTTCAAACACATTTACACTTCAAAAAACACGTATAAAAACATTGTGAACATATATGAACCCAAAAAAGACAAAACGGTTTGAACAAAACGTAGGTCTGTCTAGCAAAGTTCTTCAAATAAAATCCAAAACGTGCTTTGCTCAACCTTTTTATTTGTCACGCCCAGTTGTAGTTTGCTGTAAAGAGGACACATCGATTGCAAACGTGTTAAAGTAATAACTGTAGCATCTATGCTAATTTTCTGTTAACCCATTTTGTTTTTTTTTGTTTTTGTTGTTGTTTTTTTTTGCATTATTTGTTAGTAATAAGATAGCGGACATTCATTACAATTTGATCTGGTTGGTGTTTAAATTCATTTCAATTTCATTTTGGTTCATCTCTCAGGTTTACAGCAAAGCTCAACTTGGAGTGACAAACAAAGCACGCTCGGCCTCTTATTTGTAGAACTGTGCTGAGAGAGTTCTTTCTCTTTAAGAAATGTTAAACAACAGTCTCCCTTTTTTGAGCGCGAGACACTAAAGAACAGGAACACTTTCAAGCAGGGGTCCCCAACCTGGTGCCAGTGGGCAACAGGTAGCCTCCGAAGAGCACATGTATACCCTGCGAGGCTCTTCTTAAAAAGAGTGGTCTATTTAAAAATGAGAACACGAGCAGAGATTTATGAAATGAGTGTAGGTCATGATATTTTTCGATTTCTTTTCGATATACGGGGGCTCTTTCTATAATGTGCGTGTATGTGCGTGTGTGTGCGCGTGTGTGCATGCGTTACCTGTTTGCTGTACATATGTCAGTCCACATCTGGACACAGAGCAGTGACATGGTGACCTCGTCACAGCACTGAATGAGTTCATAGTGGGAAGAACTGACAACTAAGAGCATACAAGAGTCAGCCAATTCATTTCAATTGGGACCATGATAAATGAATGGTTTAGACGTGGAGATCATTGTGGCACTTTGCAGTAACCAGCTGGGTACTCACCTTGTGCGGTGAGCTGTGCGTGCGCTCGTAGAAGGCAACTGACTGAGTCCATCACCTTCCTGAAGGGAGAGACACACTGACGCCGTGCACGCCAGTTCAACGTCTTAACATCCTGCGCGATCGATAGGTAAATATGTCTGTGCGCCACCTCACATCTGCTCGCCGCGCAAGATGACTGGCTAATGACAGGAGGCCATCCGCAACTGATGGTAAGAAGAGCCGATGAAAAGTCTCTGACAATTCACCAGGCTCCACCCCCACGCAACAGGAGCTAAGGTGACAAGCAGACAGACGGAAAGTTAGATCGGGAAAACACCCTCATCGTGTGTTTGATAGGGAAGTGTGACAAAGAGAGAAAAAAGTTTTTGGCCTGTTGTCTGGCACTTACGTTGTGAGTGAGGCCAGCGTGACCGCGGCTCTCCAGATGCTTTGTGGTCTTTGGGGATTCAAAGTGATGAGAGTAACACAGTGGCTCAGGATACCGTTCTGATACAAAAGAGACTTGACTCTGGTCAGTGCACTGGTGTCCTTCTGTTCCGCCGCCACGTTGAGTAACTCTGGGTTTGATTAGAGATCCCATTTACTTTTTTTTCCCACTGGACTATTCCAACATTCACATTTTTGGGGGAATTGGTGGTAAATTCAGCCCCGAACAATAATGGCGGATCCTACATCCATTCCTTGCCTATCAGCAAGTATAAGGAAAGAAAGTGTAAAAGCGCAAAGCAGAGCAGAAAAGAGCACAGGTTCCAAATTCCATTACACCAGTTGTTCTCAACTGTTGTCACTCTGCGACACGAATCTTCCTATGCTGCAAAGTCGCAATTCTACTTTTATAAGAGTGAAGAACAATAAAGCAATTTTTTTTCAAAATAATCTCTGAAACGACAGGGGCAAGAGCTGAATTTGCACATTCCTTAATATGATTTTAAAGTAACAGTATTAACTTGACCACATTTTTTGGATAAATCTACCCACTTGTACTACCAGACAAACAAATTCAGTGAGTAATTGAGAGAGGAAAAGGTCTCACGCTCTAAAGTGTCATTCAGCAGGTTGATTCTGTCAGCAGTGTTCAGACTTGAGTCCTCCACTTGTCGCTTTAGGTGCATTACAGCCTCCTCAGGCTGCTCCATCGTAACTGCAGCAAAGTAATAAGTAATCAATGGGCTTAATGCTCAACGGGCCAACAATAACCCGACATAAATCACTTACCTCTTCACGAAACAAAGTGGCCTTAAGCTAAAGCACGGTTTTAACGCTCCATTATGGACCGCGAATGCCACACCATTCGCATCTAAAGGCACTTTTACAGAGCCGTTTCGGTTATTATAAGTGCCGCAAACTCGCCAATTTAGCCAAGCTAAATCAACACAATAAAGTCATCCTCCTGCGACTATCTATCCGTCTCTCTTCGGTGGCGCTTCATGATGACGTAAGAAGCGATTTCATTGGCTTCACTTCACATCTATCTTTAGATAGATAGAGAGAGAGAGAGAGAGAGAGAGAGAGAGAGAGAGAGAGAGAGAGAGAGAGAGAGTACTGTACTTTGTTCTCACTGGTATGTAAATTCCGCCAAGGCCTACCTGTAGAACCAATATCTTATGTCTTTTCCACTATCCACTCCCGTATAACATTTCTGTACACTCGTAGTGCGACTTGAGCAGACTAATCGAACCATTAGGTGTTCGTAATGGAATAAAAGTGTACGATTTGATGTGAGTGTGCTTTAAGTACTACTGTGAAATACCGGTGTGAACTAGTGTAACTTTCACGGCATCTTGAGTGTGCCTGTGTGTGTGTGTACTCGCGAGCGCGCGTCCAGCAGCTGGTGCAGCCCTCTCGCACAGCCCCACTCTGCGCGCATGCGCGCTGGTGCTACTCGGCGCAGACCGAGAGAGCTTATCATCGTCGAGAGAGAACAGGGGTGGGGGGGCGAGAAACCGGTTCGTGTGATGGTACGTGCATGGGGTAACGGTAACGCGAATATTTACGATGAAGTGTGAGATTCAGTGCCGTGCGGCGGCGTCACCGTAGAAAGCCTCACCATCACCATCGGGAAGGAGGAGAAAGGAGTAGGTCTGCCGAGGCTGAACGTGGAGGATGCACCATCACTGACCCACTGATCGTTACCGGGAGGAGGGGAACGCATCCGTCCCTTACGGCGGACTAATATTAGCTTAATTCGGGCGCCACATCCGATGTGAAGCCGCGGGTATGGACGGGTAGGCAGGGGAGGAGGCGACCAACGGTACATAACGGAGGAACGAGCCCGAGGACGAGGAGGAGGAGGAGGAGGAGGGAGAAAGATGAATTCGGTGGATGGAGCAGGAGAAACGGGCCCGGACGGCCTGGCGACGGCAGGTAGGGCGTGTGAGCGTGTGCGCGAACTGCTTTATCGCCATGATGCCTTCACATACGCCCATTGACTTGGAAGATGTGCACGCGCGCGCGCGCGCGAGGAGCACGCTCAGAGCGCCGTACTGTATTTGCTATGGGCATATGGTCACATGCCCATTTACGAGTTTTTGTACTCCAAAGCCAATGGGAATGCTGCTGTCTGATTGGCTACCGCGTTTTAATTACCGTATTATAGCAACTGCAACTGACTTTGAGGCGATATAATTATGGACTCCTATATTGATTTTCACAGGGGTGGTTGCGATGATCACGTTTGAGACTGAATGTTTGATGGCATCATTTTGTCAAAACAGCACCGGCACTGGTGTGCAAGAGGAGTTGGGGATGTCGATACAGGCTCCGGCCGGCCTTCCTGTGTGGAGTTTGCATGTTCTCCCCTTGCGTCCACAGTCTTCATCTCACGTTCCAAAACATGCATGTTCATCAAAGACTCTGAATTATTGTGAGATGTCATTGTGAGTGTGAATGGTTTTTGGTCTATGTGAGCCCTGTGATGAGTGGGGTACCCCGCCACCCCTCGCCCACGGTCAGTCGAGCTCACCCTTGACCCTAATGAGGTTAAGTGGTATGGAAGATGGATGGGTGAACATTCAAACAGCTATCGGCCACATTCAAGTCAGAGTGAGACATCTTCCTGATGGTTGTTGTGTAATCAGGCTAATGAGTCCTGACAGTTCGAGCAACTTTCTTTGAAGCCCTCCACAACGCAGTTATTTTGGGCTCATCGCTGACTCAGTGCGTATGTTTGTGCGCATCCCTCACTGATCTGCTGTCTGCTGCTCAAACTGACAACTGATGGATCACTCGGGTTGCTCGTCGATTGTTTCGATCCTTGGTCCTTAAAGACGCGTCCATGCTGCAAACCTCATTCATGATGAGTCACTGAGCTAAACTCCCACACTTAGATGCAAGTCCGACCGCTCTACTCTCAGCCACAGAGCCCAGCATGGACCACGGTAAAACCACGTTTGGTGCAGTCATGTTGGCAGGAGAGATAACAACGTGTCTCGGAATTCTAGGGTCCAGTAAAGCAGAGTCGGTCCGGGCGGGTGACGTCCTGACAGTACTCAGAGAGAAAGTGGCCTTTGTGTCAGGTAAAGTCCACTGCCAGAGCATGGCGGCATTCTGCTTTGGTCTGGTCTTGACCCAGTTAAATGTCCAGGGGGACGAGACAAACGAGGAGGACCGATCCTGACCTTCCCAGCCAGGACCAACCATGAGCGGATAAAGCAGGAAGATCTGAGCCGGCTGGTGACGTACCTGTCAACCATACCTAGGTGCGCTCGTTTGTCGTCGCATCAACCCGCAGGACTGTCCGTCTCCGTTGACCGTCTCTCTTTCTCTCTGTTTCAGTGAGGACGTGCGCGCACGAGGGTTCACAGTGGTAGTGGACATGCGTGGTAGTAAGTGGGACAGCGTGAAGCCCGTGTTGCGTACTTTGCAGGAATCCTTTTCCTCCAACATCCACACGGCGGTGCTCATCAAACCTGATACCTTTTGGCAGAAACACAAGACCAACCTGGGCAGTGCCAAGCTCAGCTTTGAGGTACTGCTATTTCATTCGAAATTAGCACGAATGCCATTAAGTTCCAAAAATACGACCTCCAATTTCATTACTAACAACTTCACTTCTAGTAATGTAAACTTCATTCCTACTGAAGCTTGTTACCAATTCAGAATTTTGTCTTCAGACCAATCTAGTGTCTGTCGAAGGTCTGTCCCGGTTGGTCGACCCTTCTCAGTTGACGTCTGACCTCGGTGGCTCCTTGGAGTATGATCATGTGGAGTGGACCGAGCTGCGTCTGGGTCTGGAGGAGTTCTCGGGGGCCGCCACGCAACTGTTGAACCAGTTGGATCAGCTGGAAGTTGGGCTGACCAGCTTACCAGAACCGCAAGATGTGGATGACTCCCGCAAGTAAGGATCCCACTTATTGATTAGCGGCCCAAAAGCTTGCCAGTGTGTGTCAAAGGGACAAAATAAAACATTTTAGCAACAGCATCAGAAGCCATTTCTGATCTGCAGAATACTCGAAGAACACAATCGTCTCCGAAACACCATCGCGACAGCGCCAGTTGACGCCCTCGACCGAGAGGGGAGGAGCTTGCTCCAGCGCATGCGCCTGGGCCCCTCCCACGGGGACACCTCCAACGAGAGCGGCGGCGGGAGCCATGGCAGCTGGCTGTCAGGTGGGGCCGACTTCCAAAGCGTGGCTCCAAAGGTCTCCTCTCTACTAGACCGTCTGCAGGTGGCTCGCACTCACCTGCTGCAGAGCTGGAGCGACAGGAAGCTCCACCTGGACCAGGCGCTGCAGTTGCACCTGTATGAGCAGGATGCCACCAAGGTGAGCTGGAGCAGACTCACCTACCAAGCGGCTGGCGAGTCATCCGCAAATCACGCTTCATCAAATTTTGTCTCCAACAGATGTCCGAGTGGATCGCCCACAGTAAGGAGTTGTTCATGCAGACTTTGGTGGAGGTCGGTCAGAACCACCAGCACGCCGTTGACTTACAATCACAACATCAGCACTTCACCTCAAATGTGATGGTGAGTTTGTGAAGTCACTCAGCATTTTCGTTTCGCTGTTCCACCCTTTGCAAACGTCACATTCCGTGTGCGTGTGTGTGTGTGTGTGTGTGTGTGTGTCTGTGTGTGTGTGTGTGTGTGTGTAGAACGGGAGTGTAAATGTGGACAGTGTCGTTACTGTGGCAGCCAGGCTTGCAGAGGCTGGTCACTTTGGGGCGGAGAGGATTGCCACGGTGTCCTCACAGCTACAAGAAGACTGGAAGTTACTGACCACAGCTCTGGAAGAGCGTAGCAACACGTTAGCCATGGCCACTGGCTTCCACCAAGGGGCAGAGCAGGTGATTAGTCAGAAGTCGGTGATTGTGCCGCTGCTTCTGGTGTGCCCACCTCGGCCACCATGCACACAAACCAAAACTATAAGTGACTCAGGAAGATGAGTCGTTTTTTTTCATAGAGGATAAAGAATATATGCGTGTGAGTACTGTTATATTATTCATCTACATGCATTGCTTCACCATTTGTGTTCAAATGGCTTAAAAGGGCTCTAAGACTGAAGCTATGCATGCTAACCGTGAGCACGTCAATGGCATTTTTCATTGTTTCTGAGCATTAAAATAGGCATCCCAGCATGCGTTAAAAAGAGCACAAAAACACCAAGAGGGGAGGTTTCCCGAAGAAAGAAAAAAAAAATGAAGAAGCAAACATGTGAAAAAGCGAATTGCGAATCGGCCGAAGATTGTCGTACATCTTCATAGATTTCCCCGTCCTGTCCTCCCACCTGGTTATGTACGCAGTTCCTTCACAAAGCGGAGGCGTGGCTTCAGACCTATGCCGAGGCATCGCTGCCGATGGCAACGGCTGAGCTGGAGGAAGCTGTAAAAAAACACCAGGAGCTGAATGAGGAGGTGTCTGCCAACTACACTCAGGTGATTGTCTCGGCGTCGGTGTGGCAATCCGGACATCGGTTTTGTTTGCCCTTCCGCTCACATGTCTGTGCGCAGGTCAGCGAGAGTGGTAAAGCCTTGCTGGACGTGTTAAACCGCAGCACGGTGACTGACCACAATGACACGTCAACTAAACCAGACCTTACTGGCACCACGCATGGCATCATGGGAGTTCTGCACCAGGTCATGCAGGTACAGCCGACTTGGCATCTCACTATTACTTTGGGGACGGACAGCTGCGGATTCACTGAACTCTGTCGCAGGGTCACCATGACCTGGAGAACGCGTGGCAACATCGCAAGCTCCGCCTCCACCAGCGCCTTCAGTTGTGCGTGTTTCAACAAGACGTCAAACAGGTACAATGCGCGCATTGACTGACAGGATGGGACCTGACTGCTTCCTGGCTTGTGACACAATAAACGTCTCTATCCATCCGTTGTTCCTCAATGCGCGCATTGACTGACAGGATGGGACCTGACTACTTCCTGGCTTGCGACACATTCGGCCTCACAATAAGCGTCTCTTATCCATCCGTTTGTTTCCCTCCCTCCGACCGTGTCAGGTGTTGGACTGGGTGGAGCAGCACGGTGAGGTTTTCCTCAACAAACACAGCGGCGTCGGGAAGTCTCTGCATCGAGCGCGAGCGCTTCAGAAACGTCACGACGACTTCCAGCAAGTGGCTCAAGTGAGCGTGACCCTCGCGATTGTCACACTTCTTTGTACGTACGCGTGACGTGTTCACGGTGCGCATGTGATTGTTGTGCGCGCGCGTTAGAACACTTACACCAACGCAGAGAAGCTCCTGGAAGCCGCTGACCAACTGGCTCAGTCTGGCGAGTGTGAGGAGGAAGAGATCTACCAGGCGGCCCGAGACTTGGAGCTCCGCATGCAGGTGACCCAGCACGACGTGACAATAAATTAAGCGCAATGCCGAAGTATTCCTTTTCTCCGCTCAAAGAAATTGCAACGATCTATTTCGATTATTGAGCTGGAGAGAAACGCATGCGACGTGCTGTGTGCGTTTGCGTGTGTGTTTCCGCAGGCGTTCATTCAGAAAGTAGAACAAAGGAAGATGCTGCTCGACTTGGCCGTGTCCTTCTACACACACACCAAAGAGGTAACGTCTGAAGGATGCGAGTGACAGAACTCGAAACCCGATCTCCATCACAGTCCCGACCTCCCACACGCAGCTGTCGTCCTGGATGGAAGGACTCCAGAAGCAGCTCTCGACTGACCTCTGCACCGGTTCGGAATCGGTCGAAGCTCTGCAGGCGCTCATGAACCAGCAACAACAGCAGCAGGCCAACACACAGGTAAAAGGCTGGTTTGTCTGATCCCAGACCTAAACACTAACCTTCTCACCAAAGCCCGACATCCCTTCCACTGCCGACCCCGACTTCTAACCCTCACATTAACCCGGCCTCTAAACCCCGCCCCGCAGGAGGCTGCAATGAGTGTCATCAGAGAAGGGGAAGACCTCATCCTGCAACTCAGGTAGAGAGCCTGGATGCCTTCGATTCGCGTCCCATGGCTGCATGGCGGTTACGGTTACTTCCCTCCATGAGCTGGCTCGGGCTCAATCGAGTGTTTGTGTTTGTTTCGTACTGGAGTTGGGTGTCTTTGTTTCCATCTCGGTGCATGAAGCTGATCGCTTGAGGTGTGGTTTACAAAGTGACTGTCGTGTGCATTTGTTTTAGGCCCCAGGGCAGCTCAGTGGCCCATGTGGAGTCAGTGCTGCAGCACCTGGAGGAGTTCCACGTTCAGCTGGAGGAAGTTTTCCATCAGCGGAAGATCCGATTAGATGTTTACCTGCAACTGCGTATCCTACAACAGTGCATACTGGAGGTAAATGTGGGGACATTTCAAAATGACCTTGAAACCTCGCCGTTGTTGGTCAATGTGTACGTGCTGTTTCCTAGGTAACCGGGGAGATGGACGCCTGGAAGCAGGAGCTCCAGAAACAATCCCAGGACCTTTCTGCTGAGAAGCGGCTATCTGACGCAAGCCAAGAAAAGCAGGCACTCGGGCCGTCGCGACTCGCTGAAGCTAGCCCGGAGGCACTGACATTAGCGCAGCAACGCATTCACAGGTAGACACTTTGGTGTTCAGACAAAGAGGAAAAAAAAATGTCTACTTGAGAGTGATATTTCAGAATTCATTTGATTGATCTCCAGGCACATGGAACGGAGGCTCGCGGTGAACAACATGACCTACGAGGTGGTCCAACAAGGTCACGACCTTCAGCAGTACATCACCGAGGTCAAGTCAACAGGTGAGGCAAACGGGAATTGCAAACTGTTACGTTCAGAGAGATGGAACTCACAAAATGGACCAAGGAGTAACGGCTGATCGTTTCATTTCATTTGTTTTGTTCCAGAGGCTCTTGATATGTTTTGAGAGCTCAGTTCGTTATAGGATGGAGGTATGATGAAAGATGGGTTCATAATTTAGACATAGCAGATTGGGTTGAAAATTGGATTTTGGTTGTGTGCTAAACTAAATCTTAAGTCCTATTCTTCGAAAATGTTGGTGGTGGGTGAATGGCTCTGTGGGTAACACTGCAGTGCTGACCTTCGACACACAGAGATTGGGGTTCAAGTCCTTTCAGAGTGAAAGCCACTGGGGTCTTACTCCTCAATAAAAACGAGAAGGTTGGATCTGGAGTAAAAACTGTGTCAAGCATCATGTGAGTGACTTGCTCTGATGACCCCTGATGGGGCAAAGTCACTTTTTCTTCGAAAATGTTGGTAGTAAAATGAGTATTTTTTTGCCACAGCTATAGTGATAACCTGGTGACGCATTTCTTGGTCGTGGCTGGCATGCGGGTTCTGCACCCTGGTCCTCCAGGCCCCATCGTGGCTGGAGGGACACTTTTCTCGTCAACAGCTCGGATTCGAGTCGCTTCTTCTCCACGTCGAGAGGAGCCAGATGAGGTGGCTCGGGCATCTGATTAGGATGCCTCCTGGACGCCTCCCTGGTGAGGTGTTCTGGGAGATGTCCCCCGGGGACCACCCAGGAAGTGCTGGGAATGCCTTGGAATCCCCCGAGACGAGTTGGAAGAAGTGGCTGGGGAGAGTAGAAAATAGATGGATGGATTATAATTATCATTAATACCGCAGGCCCTCTTTGGTAAACGTCGACGTAAACAGTGACGTTTGGACGCTTTACGATGACGTAATGACGTCGCTCCTACTTGGTTCTTTGCCGGTGGAAAACAAAATATGTTCTTCTGAAGAACTTGCGAAGCGCCAACTAAGCACGGCACTGGCCCTGGCCCCAAACGAGCACCAAGTTCTTTTTGGGTGCAAAAGGGGTATTAAAGAGGGGGATCGGCACAGGGAAGTCTGGGCATTTCTGCCTCAATTGCTGCATCTGCCCAGATAAGCAGAAGGGAGTGTCATCATGTTCTCCATGAACTGGGTTGTTCTTTGGTTTGCTTGCCACTTCCTTCAGTGACTGTGGTTTTCTTATGAACAGTACTCTAGTTTATAGCCCCTTCTCTTTAAAGTTGAATAAGTAGCTTTATGTTTCTTGCGTTGGGGTTCTCGTGCTTCCTCCTCAGTGCGCTCACGGGTCAAAATTGCAGGCTTCACCTAAATGATGTCACTTTGCGGGTGACAGCTTAGCTGCTGAGCCGGGAGTGGTGAAGCACCTGTGTAGCTCTTCACTTTGGAGTGTGGGGACACCTACAGGAAACCAGCCATCCGATACCAGCACCAGCACCATTATGGAAGTGAAAAGAACTATAAGGGAGAAAATATGATTGAGTAGAATGTGATATATTAATACACTGTAGAGTGGCTGATGTAAGTCTGCCTGCTTCAGTAACATACAGATGATTTAAGTGTGTGTGTGTGTGTGTGTGTGTGTGTGTGTGTGTGTGTGTGTGTGTGTGTGTGCGTGGGGGGGGGCAGAGGACGATAATGGGGGAGGGCGGAAGGGGGATGGGGTAGCCATGGAAACTGCACTCAGCTGGTCCCCATGGAAACCCGCTCATTGACTTTGCCGTGAACACACGCACACACACACACACACACACACACACACACACACACACACACACTGTAAGCACATGATTGGTGGTTGCACATTTATAGTAATGTACTTGAATTTCATTGGTGGAGTCTATTTTCTGACATGCACGTGCACATGTCTGCGTGTTTCCCTGTGTGTGTGTGTGTGTGTGTGTGTGTGTGTGTGTGTGTGTGTGTGTGTGTGTGCGTGTGTGTGTGTGTGTGAGAGTACCAGGAATTGAGCTGTCAGAGGTGGAGGGCAATCTCTCATCTCAGGTTGAGGAGCTGCAACGCCTGATGCTGGACAAACAGAAGGAACTGCAGCAGATTGCGGATCACAGTCATACACACCTGGAACAGAACCTGCAGCTTAGACACCTACAGAACCAGGTCAAACAGGTAACTCACACACACATGCACACACGGGTCACACGGGTCACACGGACACACCCGCAACGCCAAATATGCGGTCGACACCTGTGGTTCTGAATCACGTGCATCGGTCAGGTGCTGGGTTGGATCACGGAGGGTGAGGTCATGCTGTCATCCTGCATGCTGAACTCCAGTTGTTTGTCAGAAGCCGAACAGCTGCAGAGGGAACACGAGCGCCTCCAACAGGCCATAGAGGTTACTACACACACGCACACAACTGAAGGCTTCGCATCTCCATTGGGGAACATCTAACTGGTGTTATGTCCAGGCTCTCCTGCATGCTGACTCCCTGCAGAGGACCCACCAGGTGGCTCTGGCCCTGCAGCAGAGAGCAGAACTGCTCGTCAGGTTAGTCCACAGACACACTGCCACTGCGTATTAGGCATTCAGGAAGTAAGGATTTGTTTTTTCTCGTCGACTTGACCAAATCTGGCGACACAGTGATCAAATACTTAGCACGTCGGCCTCACAGTGCAGAGGTGCAGGCTTCAATTCTGGCTCCAGACTTCCTTTGTGGAGTTTGCATGTTCTTCCCGTGCCTGCGTGGTTTTTTTACGGGTACTCCGGTTTCCTCCCACATTTCAAAAACATGCATGGCAGGTTGATTGGGCACCCCAAAATTGACACGAATGGTTTTCCATCTATGTGCGCCCTTGCGATTGGCTGGCAACCGGTTCAGGGTGTCCCCGCCTACGGCCCTGAAGACGGCTGGGATAGGCTCCAGCACGCCTCCCGAGGATACGCCGATTAGAAAATGGATGGATGGATATACCAGATCTTTTTTGCACTGCAATCCAATTTCTCTGTCTCTGAGTTTGTCTCTGTGCCGCTTGCGTTTGTTTGCTTGACCCAAAACACCGACCCCTGATCTAGGTCAGGCCATTATGATCCGGACGCAGTGAGGTCCTGCGCGCAGACGGTGGCGCTCCACTGGCAGACTCTGATGCTGCGGATCGAGGACCGACTCAAACTGGTCAATGCTTCCGCCGCTTTCTACAGAACATCGCAACAGGTTGTCAGAAGTTTTGTCCTCCTATCAATATGAAACATTACATTTTTAGCACAACTACTTTGTTAATGTTGTTAAAATGCACTTTTCTCGCCAATTTGAGATTTTGGCTCAGTTGAGATTTTGGCTGGTTGTTTGATATCTTGGGGACTTTTAAGGCAGAACCTGAAAGAGGGAGCATCAACGCCATTGATGGTGAAGCAAGATATTACAGATTTTAGCCTTATTTGTGGCGGATATTTTCCTGTGGCAACTTTAAGCACAAGCCTCGTGCTCATCGACTCTGTCTAATCGAAACAAAAAACACATGGAGGTGCGGTGTCGTTTTTCATCGCTTATCGTGGGCTAATGTTGTTTCAGTCGTGTATTTCAGCCAAAAAGTGTCAGTAGTGTGTATGTGAGAACATTTCAGTTGTGTAAAAGCATTTCAGTTTTTCTTTTTAATTTAAAATAACTTTAACCTCCAGTATCCCTCACCATGGCCAGCAGCAGAACCCAAGGTCCTCTTTGGGACCAATTTTATATCCATCATACCAGCTGCTAGCTAGCGCTATGCTCACCTGGGTGTTATTGTAGTTAGTTTACCTTGCTAGGACGGCGTGAACGCAGCCCGCTTTCACCCGTGACGTGCACTGTAGCAACCTTCACAAGTTCCGTGATTTCCTATGTCTGGGAGGGCTGTGAGAGTAACAAGTGGTGGGGGACGACGGAAAGGAGAAATGACACTTTAAGCTACTCGCCGGTTAGCATTATTGTGCTGGCGTGGCCTGTTCTGATTCGAATTTTAAAATTCTGATTCGGTGTCTGTTTCGAGGCGAGTCACCGCCTAGTCAGTCGTGTGTGAGAGCATTTCAGTCTTCAAAAAATGTCATTTGTCTGTGTGGAAGCATTTCAGTAGTGTGTGAGTGAAAAAATGTCAGTCGTGTGTGTAGGACCTGTTCAGGGGTGAGTGTGAGGGCATTTCAGAGGTGGGGGAATGGAGAAGTGTGGTTGTGTGTGAGTGTGTGTGTGTGTGTGTGAGAGAGAGAGAGAGCGAGAGAACATTTCCATAGTCGATATGAGAGTGTTTTAGTATGTGAGCAGTAATCGTGAATGATGTCCCAAAGAGCCCTCATACTGACCTGTGTGTCCACTTGGAATATGCAGGTATGCGGTGTGCTGGAGAGTCTGGAGCAGGAGTACCGCAGGGAGGAGGACTGGTGCGGGGGCGGAGACAGACAGCCTGAGCATCTCCTGCCTCTCATCAACAAACACATGGAGCAGAAGGAAGCCTTTCTCAAGGTGTCGTGTAAAGCAGTGGCTCCCCACCCGGGTTCCCCAGCTCCCCGGGGTCTGCTAGCTACAATTTGGGCCTTTACAAAGTCATGGGCAATTAAAAAAAAAAAAGAATCGGACCCCATATTGGAGAACTGCTGATGTTAAATACAATTCTAATTTGCTAGCGGTAATGACAACGCCCTTCACTTTCTTGTTACTATGGAAACAGGCCTGCACGCTCGCGAGACGGAACGCAGAAGTTTTCCTCAAGTACATCCACCGCAATAGTGTCACCATGGCAAACATCTCCGGCCACAATGTCACCGTGTCGGGGGTCACCGAGGTCACTGGGCACTCACGGGTACCAGAGCAACAGGTCAAAGGTGACATGAACCCCAACGCACGCATGCACGTACACCATGTGAAAATGTAAAGGAGCCCCAGGAAACACGGCGCTTATCATTTGTGTGCTTGTGCGTCATGTCCAGGTATCCTCAGTGAGTTGCTTCAGAGAGAAAATAGAGTTCTTCATTTTTGGACATTAAAGAAGCGCCGACTGGACCAGTGCCAGCAGTACGTCATGTTTCAGAACCACACACAGCAGGTACGTAACGCTGGCTAATGATGTTGTGTTGATGAAAATGTAACTGTATTGCAATGATCAATCCTTGCATCCTATTCCGATCAAATGGATTGATATATTTTTACAGCAGCAAAAGTAGCCTCAATGTCATCCTTTCACCCTGAAATTTGATGACTTCTGATCACTTTTCCTCAAGTCACCCAAAATGCACAAAAACTGAAATAAAAATTTATTCGGATGTTGTCAAATTCAAGCCGCGTCAATTAAAATCGATTTCCGATTCATTGGCATGCGGAGGTTACGGTGGGAATTTTCCATTCAAAATGGAGTTTGAAACAGTCACATGAACTGGCTTAGTGTCCACCACATTTTATGTGCACATTAGTCATGGAGGGTCATCCGGGGGGGAAATTGAAACAGTAAAAGTCCAAATCATGTACAGTATCTTTGTGGGACTTTGAAAGAGTACAGAGAACTGTATGCGTTTCAACCACATTGTCACTGGTTCTCTGTAAAAATGCAGAAATTAGTCTTGAAAGGCTGCATTGAGTCATTTATCAAAAAAAAAAAACCCGAAATAAATACAATACCCTGAACTGGACAGGCTCTGGATTGGTTGGCACAGTCAGGAGACCACTACCTGGCCACACACACGTCACCAGGAGCAACAGCGACGGAGACGCAGGAGTTGCTCAACCAGCACCGGCAGTTTTGTGTTTCGGCCAAGGTAAGAGTGTGCACGGAGCCGGCCCAAGGTGCAAAGGTTTATTTTTGTTCGTTTTGAAGGGCTTTAGCGCAGTGAGACTGCGCAGTGTGTTGTTTGGGCTCCCCCTAGTGGTAAGTGAAAGAACCACTGCCTGAGCACGGTTCAGTTGTATTTAACTTTTTAGTAGATTTCATCTTTAAGAAGTGATTGATTTTGTTTGAATGTAGGTAAAATGTTTATACAATGTTTTTGGTGTAATTCATTTAAATTCGGTCTTTAAAAACTGCTTTTATTTTCATATACTAAGGCGCAGTGTTGATATTCAAGCTACGTGTATACCGGCCTAGATGATAGTCAGGATTCCATACGCTGTATCAATTAGAATGTTTTTTTTTTTTTTTAAATCAGCTCCGAGTGTGCATGGTGCCAAAGATGATGACATGAAGCCTCTCACTCCTTCTGTCATGTTCTCCTCAGCACACCCAGGAAAAGGTTCACTTGCTCATCCAACTGGCCGAGAGCATGCTGACGAAAGGCCACGCCCACCGCCTGGAGCTTCGCCGCTGTGTTTCCGCCGTGGATAAACGGTACCGGGACTTCACCGTCAGGATGGGCCAGTATCGCCACGTGCTAGAGACGGCACTGGGAGGCTGCTCAAAGGTACCCCCCCATGCCCCCCCCTCCCCCCCTCGTCAAAAGCATTTCCAATCGACCGCATTGTAAATTGGATTGCCAGTTACAGCGGGAACATGTAAATGTATCATCATCGGGGTGGTGATTTCCAACCACGATGCCACATTTGTACAACATCATCTAATGAGTTCACAAATGATTATTTATTTTCTTCAAATAGTTAAAGAATATAAACAGGAGGGTGTGCCCCCCCCCCCCACCCTCTACCCCCCATTAGGACAACAAGGACTTGGAGCTCGAACTGATTCCCAACAGTCTGTCTGACTCGGACCCGGAAGTCAATCTGTCAGACCCCAGCCACCAGGTCAGCGATGAGAAGAGACGCTCAGCCCGCAAGAAAGAGTGAGTAACCGAGTCTTGGCCATCGCCTTTGCGCGGTGATTCTAAAAGTCTTACATTTAATCTTTCATTATTGTGATATGTTGCCAAACATTCATTTGGGTCAATTTTTGTGATTTAGCCTATGTGCAGTGCATTTAAATGATTTAGCTAGTTTAACAGGCCCACTATGCTACTGTACTTTAATGTCGGTCATGGCGGCGGTACTTGGCAAGTCAAGTATTGTTCGAAGTGCTGCTTGTCATAAATATGCTAAGAACCATTGCAGTGCGCTTCATGTTGGCTGACAAGTGTGTATATTGCAGGTACATCATGGCGGAGTTGCTGCAGACGGAGAGGGTCTATGTCAGGGACCTTCAAGAATGCATCGAGGTACCACTCGATCCAGTTTGCACTGTTCACATCGGTTTTAGGCAGAGATGGCAAAACCGCTCATGCTCGAATGCACAGATGAATGAAGAAGAAGAAAAAGACTGTTCAAGTACTGATTCAACTCATTTGTATTCAATATAAGTAAAAAAAAAAAAAAAAAACAAGTACCGTGAATGAAATGTACTTAAATGCTCTACTGAAGGCAGCACGATGGTCTTCTGGTTAGCACGTTTGCCTCACAGTGGTTCGACTCCGAGCTTCCTACATGGACTGCGTGGGGCCCCCCCCATCCCCACACACACACACACACACACACACACACACACACACACACACAAGTCCATACTTTTACTTACCACGCTACTCGAGTGAAGTACAAATACCAAAAAAAAAAAAAAATAATCTACTCAAGTACAGTCATGGATGATTCGTACTTGGTTCCCCATCCTCGCAAGCATTGCTTTGAAGCCGTGACCGCGCTAACGCTGGCGCAACATGATACCTCTTGACTGTGTGGCCCGCCACGCCGCAGACGTACCTGTGGGAGATGACGAGCGGCTCCGAGGACGTCCCGTCTGGTCTCAGCAACAGGGATGACGTGGTCTTCGGGAACATCCAGGATATCTACGAGTTCCATAACAGGTAGGGAATCGGCACGAACGAATGCGTCGGCGTTTGTGCGTGTGCGTCGCGCAAATGACGCAACCACGTCTGTCTCTAGTATTTTCTTGAAGGAGCTGGAGAACTATGAGCAACTTCCTGAAGATGTGGGACATTGTTTTGTCACTTGGGTAACCAAATCCACTTTGATAGTTTAAAAAAAAAAGGGGTTGATCATCCATCCCACCCTTAAGTGGGGTAACCAAATCCACTTTGATAGTTTAAAAAAAAAGGGGTTGATCATCCATCCCACCCTCATGTTTGTGTTTTTGTTCCTCCTCTTAGGCTGACAAGTTCCACATGTACGTGACCTATTGCAGGAACAAGCCAGACTCCAGCTTGTTGATCCAGCAGCATGGTGCTGGCTTCTTTGAGGTGATGCCTTTTTTTTTCACATCCAAAAGGTCTTCAGATCTCACAGTTTCTGTTTCCGGCGACGTTTTCACACTCAAAACCAGTCTTGAGGGCCTTGTACTCGTCTCGGACGCGACTCCCTAAAGGCTTGGTCTCATCTCGTCAGAGAGCGCGGTCCTGAACACGACGCTGTTTTGCCGTGTGGTTTGTTTCGCAGGAGGTCCAGAGGAGACACGGGCTGGCCAACTCCATCTCGTCGGCGCTCATCAAACCCGTTCAGAGGATCACAAAGTATCAACTGTTGCTGAAGGTGAGCCGGCGACGCACGGGCCGACCGACCATTGACTCCATTGACGCGCGAGTATTATTATTTTTTTCTTTGCAGGAGTTGTTGGCCTGCTGCGAAGAAGGAAAAGGCGAGATCAAAGAAGGCCTGGACGTCATGCTGAGTGTTCCCAAGAGAGCTAACGATGCTATGCACGTTAGCATGTTAGAGGGTGACTCTTCCCAAAGCCTTTTTTTTAACTTCCTGTCATATATCGTTAGATCTTTTCAGAATAAATATATAATAAAAATATCAATAACAAAGACAGTGAAAACTAAATTAATAACACATCAACAAATAGATTTTTTTAAATCAATTAATCATTCTAGCCAATTAACTAATCAGTTGATTAACTAATCATATTTTACAATCAACTATATCTCGTGTTCCGTTCCGCGACATATTTGCAATTGAATTTGAGTTACAGCGTTGCTTTGACAAGAGTCTTGAGGCATCTTGGTGCCAAGGAACTACGTTGAGGTGGGGTTGAGGCGCTTCACTTAGACGACAGCGGGCCTTTGCCACCGTCTTGTGGCATCTGTTGGCTTCTAAGTCACTACCCGTAGCAGAACTCGGTTGTTATCGCCGTATACTGGAAAAATAAGGATCTCTCAATTTAAAATATTATTAAAATAAACGCAAAGCAAATTTTTTGTTGTTACACGAACAGCACGTGGTGGATTCGCAGGTTGATGACACCTTCACTGACCAGTTGGTAAAGGAATAATGCTGAGATGTCATTGTCAGGTCTCGAAGAAGGTCTGGAGGTACAAGGTGAGCTCCTGCTGCAAGACTCCTTTCTCGTTTGGGAACCAAAATCCCTCATCAGGAAGGGGCGTGACCGACACCTCTTCCTGTTTGAGCTGTCGCTCATCTTCAGCAAGGAAATGAAAGATTCATCGGGACGAACCAAATACCTTTACAAGAGCCGCTTGAGGGTAGATTTCCACCGCTTGGGCACGCAAAGCGAGAGAAACAAACGGACGAGGGCCTCGGCTAACGACTCAATTTTGTCCCCCCCCCACCCCCACCTCAGACATCGGAACTTGGCGTGACGGAGCACATCGAAGGGGATCCTTGTAAATTTGCGCTTTGGGTCGGCAGGACGCCCACTTCGGACAACAAGACGGTTCTGAAGGTAAATGTTCAGGGTGTCGCTTCTGTTCTGTGAACCGCGGCGGGATTCGTCCTTCAAACCGTCGCGCTCTCCCACCAGGCATCGTCCTTGGAGCTGAAGCAGGAGTGGGTCCGCAGCATTCGCCAAGTGATCCAGGAGAGACGGGGTCACCTGCGGGGGGCGCTGAGGGAGCCCATCCCCCTTCCCAAAACCCCAAATTTGACTCTTGGGCGGCAACGCAGCATCACGCGCAGGTGAGCGCGCCTTTGACTGACCCGGTTACCTTCAATGAGCAAATCATTAACTGTTATCTCTTTTTTTTTTTTTTTTAATAATAATTTCAAAGGAATGGTCGAATCATTCGAGGAGCGCTTAGCACATCTGCTTCACAATTCTGAAGTTTGGGTTCAGACTTTGGACATCATGTCGCTGACTTTTCAACATTTCTGTTTCTAATCAATTGACCTGAGCTAATCCATTCAGAAATGGCGACGCATGCGGTGACCGTGAAGGGCTTCGATCTCCACGGCGACGAGAGTTTGAGGCCGTGTCGCCCTGCCCCGTGTTCCACGACGAGAGGCTTTCCGCATCTGGCTGCTTGACAGACTTTTTTTTTTTGCCCTTCCTGTTTGACAGGGAGACCAGCGAGGATGCCGACAGCTTGGGCGATGCCAGCAGCCAGCCCGACACCGTCTCCATCGCCTCCCGAACATCCCAAAACACCGCAGACAGCGACAAGGTACGGCTCGCTCGCCAACACTTTGTGAGAGGCGTGTGCGTCATGACCTCACCACTGCTGCAGCTGGGTGTGTGCACGCGCGCGCTTGTGTGTGTGCGTGTGTGTGTGTAAGTTTGCATGCGAGGGGGTTTCCTCCCTTCATGGTCTCACTGTTGGAGAAAACTTTGCGTCGTTGCTCTGCTGCAGAGGTAGGTTGTGTTTGTTTGTTTGTTTGTTTTTTTATGTGACAGTGAGCTTATATCAACGTCTCTCAAATCCGAGTTGTATAAAGAGCAGCTCATCTTTAATGCAAGCATTTCGTCCCACAGCTTTGAACCAAAGAACATATAAAACAGTCTAAAGTCTTGACATGATACCAACCAGATTCTGAATTTCTACTTGTAGACCAGGGGCCCCTCACTTTTTTTTTTTTTTTGGGCCAGGGACCGGTTTCATGCGTGTTAATTTTGCCACGGTCCGAACGGGGGCGTGTTTGGTGGGCGGGGCGAGGCAGGTACCACACCGCACCAACGTTCTAAGACTATTTCCCAGCCCTTTGATTGAGCATGGCGCATATTTGACATGACAAGAATCTCACGGCGCATCACCAAACAAAAGCGTCAGAGGGTGTGATGAGCCGACTTCTGAGATACGAGCAGTTGTTTTGATGATTTGTTTGCTTTGACTTGCGAGCAAAAACAAGCTGGGATACGGCCTGACTTACGGAGTGAACCTCACGACAAGCATCTGTTGAGCACATGCTGAAATAATCTTCCGAAAAAGAGACTTCCAACTCTTTCGGGACACTCCCTGTGAAGGATTGTTGTCGCTTGTATACCATTAGTTTTGTTTCATAAAGTCACTCAACGGCTGAGGAACGAACTCAGAACCTTCAGATTGGGAAACAGCCACTCTACCACCCGAGCCATGCCGTTCCCACTTGGTGTTCGTGTACAGCTGGTGTCAGTCGGAATACTCGGACCTCCAAAAGGAGCTTTCCAATTTTTTGTCAGCGTATTTTTAAAACAACCGCATAGTCTTTCGATTCACTAGCTTAATGCTAACACAAAATTGGAAATGTCATACACAGGCTAACGAACAGCACCGGTGTTGCTATGCTGTAACCCTTTTTAGCAATGGATATTTGAACACAAATGGTGGAGGACGACATGTAGACAGATCATATGACAATATTCAAAGTCATACATTATTTATCCTCTGCAAAGAACGACTACTATTTGTGAGCCTGATTGAGTACCGACCCTTCTCCGCGTGTCTCCTCCATGAACAAATGGGTATACTAATGCGCCTAGGTGGCCAAGGTGCACACACCAGATGATTCTAAAAGAATAAATTTGACAGTAACTTACTAAAGTCTTCAGAAAAATATACTACACCACATTGACAAAGGGTGTGGGGTTTGTGATTTCCCGTCCCTAGGTGTGTCTCTATTTTGAAGGATGGGTCAAGTTCTGTACTTTGCAATAACCCACCTGCGTGTTTGTGTACCTGCATCTAGCTGTCGGGAGGCTGCGAGCTAGTGGTGGTGTTGTTGGATTTCTCCTCTGGTTCACCCGGAGAGCTCAGCGTCCGCTGCGGTCAGACTGTGGAGCTCGTGGAACGCTCAGCGGACCGACCTGGCTGGTGTCTTGTTAGAACCACCGATCAAACTCCGCAACAGGTAAGACCCCCAGATACATTTGTGGCGGTCCGGGCAATAGCAACAACTGGTGTGGCCGCACATAACGCACATGCCAGAACCCACCATTGGTGTCAAGTGTTGATGGCGACTGTTTTTTGTTTTTGTTTTTTTTCCCCCACCAGGAGGGCTTGTTGCCGATGAGCGCCCTCTGCCTCTCGCACTCCCACAGTGCTGCCGACATGGAAACACTGGTGCCGGCGTCCCCCGCCTCCTCGGGCAATGCCCCCTCCTGCATCACCACCACCACCTCCTTCAGTGCCTCCAATTCATCGTCGCTGCCGAGCTCCGGGAAGGGTGAGTGTCTTCAGGAACTCGGAATCTGTGACCCCCCGACTTCCCCTATCTGCTGTCCATCTGACTTCCTGTTGACGCTTTCTGGTCAACACTGTTTGTATTCGGGTCCTTTCCTGTCTCTGTTGGTGTCCTCTAAACCAGTGGTTCTCAGCTCTTGCTACCCCGGGACCCACATTTGAATTTAGGTTCATAACAATCAAGAAAATGTAAGGTTCAAAAATAAGTCCCTTTGCTCACTAAATCATGAAAAAAAAAAGAAAAAGGGAAAAAAAATCTTCTTTTAATGGGTGAGTCCTTTAGCTAAGATGTACCCCATGAACAAATAAATAAAATTAATGCACCATTACCTTTATTAGCATGTCTTCGTCACATCCCGGCCGGATTACTGTCATGCACTTTACTTTGGAGTCAGACAGTCCTCCATTAAGCATCTCCAGTTGGTCCATAATGCTGCTGCTCGCCTCGTGACTGGTTCTCGTAAGAGGGAGCACATCACTGCCTTCATTGGCAGGCTTCAATGATAGCCCCCCCCCTCCCCCGCACTGCACATGCCTGTTTTTGTTTTATTAACATTTCAATTTCAAATACATTTGAATGTAACGACTTATCACACTTTACTTTTTAAAAAAAAAAACTTTTTAAAATCGTAAGAGGGAGCACATCACTGCCTTCATTGGCAGCCCTTCACTGATAGCCCCCCCTCCCCCTCACTGCACATGCCTGTTTTTGTTTTATTTATTAACATTTCAATTTCAAATACATTTGAATGTAACGACTTATCACACTTTACTTTTTAAAAAAAAAAACTTTTTAAAAAGTTACATGAAAATTTGTCACACAATTTTTTTATGATTCAAAATTGGAAATACATGGAACAAGTTGTCAATCATATGAAAATGTAAAAAAAAAAGAATTATATGAAAATCCACTGACACTTGCGAACATTAAAATATAAAAATGTTAAATTTGTGTCGGAATAATTTGACACAATATTTCAGTTAGAACTTATAAACTAGAAAGTTTATAAAATGAAATGAAAATTGCTGATTTAAAATACATTTGAATTTTACAAGTCATCGTATTTTACTTTTAAAAGTTTTTTTTAATGAAATTAAAACACAGTTTTCATGTAAAAATGGAAATACATTTGAAATTTAACAAGCTATGGCACTTTATTTATTTATTTTTTATTAAAATGTAAAAAAAATGTTCAATGAAAGTTTCACAGTTTTGATCAAACAAATTGAAACACATTTAAACGTGACAAGTTCAACTTTATTTTCACTATTTCTTGAAATGTAAAAACAAAGTTCAATGAAAATTTGCCACACAATTTTATTCCTAAGTATCACATGAATACGTTTCTGCTCTTTCACCGATAACACGAAGCTGATTTTAGACTTTGAATATGCTGAAATTCTTTCCATTTTCCCGTATATTGAAAAACGTTTGACCATCCTCGCTCTACTGAACAGTTGTTTGTCTATATGTGCATTGCCCTCTCAACTCAAAGTAAGATGGGATAGGCCCCGGGCCCCCAACCGCCCTCGCGAGGGCGAGCACAATTCAATTCACAATTCACGACTGGGTGAATTTATGATTTCTATTTTTCAATTTCATTTGACGTCATCAACTCCATTTCAAGGCACTTTCCTTCCCCTTGTTATCATAAAACAACAAATGGGAACTCTTCTCAAGTCACCCTCCCTTCAAGACCCCGCCCTTTTTGACTAAGCCACGCCCCCTGACCGGTACTCCTTTTGGACTTGGGTCGAGCGCTTCACAACGACCGTGTGGCTTCTCCGCGGGTCACCCCCGATGCCTGCTTTGGTCGCCTTGATGGG